GTTTACCTCAGGGACGTAGTTGTCTCTGCGCTCACGTTCCTCCTCCTGCAGTTTGATGGAGATACCCCTTACTGGACCTCTCTGGATACGCTTCATCAAGTGTGTGACAAACCTATAAGGCCAAAGATATACCAATTTATTACAAGCAAACATTCTCACTCACATTTGTTGAAGTGTTCATTTTTAATAAGCTTGCTTTAGATGTCAAATGTGAGTGGTGATAATAATTAGGATGGTTTTATCATCTCAACATATGTAAACAAGAGGCCCAGGGGCCACATCGCTCACCTGAGCACTATGGCTAGGAAAAAGCAGAAATCACTTCAATCTTGAAAGGTTGAAAAGTTTAAATATAAAAGTGGTTGGGGGGGGGGGGGGTGTCATGAATTGAACAAACTTGAATCTACATTATCTGAGGATGCTTCCATTTAAATATGACCAATCATGGCTTTGCTGTTCTTGAGTAGAAGATTTTTAAAGATTTAACCTATGTATTCCTATGTAAAACTTAGATCACCCATTGTGGCCCCACCCAACCCCCAGGGGTCATGTTTGAACAAACTTGAATGTACACTATCTGAGGATGCTACCATATAAATATGACCAATCATGGCTCTGCTATTCTTAACAAATAGTTTTTTTTAAGATTTTTACTATGTGTTCCTATGTAAAACTTTGATCGCCCATTGTGGACCCACCTGACCCCCGGGGGTCATGATTTGAACAAATTTGAATGTACACTATCTGAGGATGCTTCCATGTAAATGTGACCAATCATGGCTTTGCTGTTCTTGAGAAGAAGATTTTTAAAGATTTTTTCCTATATATTCCTATGTAAAACTTTGATCGCCCATTGTGGCCCCACCCGACCCCCGGGGGTCATGATTTGAACAAACTTGAATCTACACTACCTGAGGATGCTTCCATGTAAATATGACCAATTATGGCTTTGCTGTTCTAGAGAAGAAGATTTTTAAAGATTTTTCCTATATATTCCTATGTAAAACTTTGATCGCCCGTTGTGGCCCCACCCGACCCCCGGGGGTCATGATTTGAACAAAATTGAATCTACACTACCTGAGGATCCTTCCAAGTAAATATGACCAATCTTGGCTTTGCTGTTCTTAGAAGAAGATTTTTGAAGATTTTCCCATATATTCCTATGTAAAACTTTGATCGCCCATTGTGGCCCCACCTGACCCCCGGGGGTCATGATTTGAAGAAACTTGAATCTACACTACCTGAGGATGCTACCATATAAATATGACCAATCATGGCTTTGCTGTTCTTGAGAAGAAGATTTTTAAAGATTTTTCCTGTATATTTCCTATGTAAAACTTTGATTGCCCATTGCGGCCCCACCCTACCCCCGGGGGTCATGATTTGAACAAACTTGAATCTACACTACCTGAGGATGCTTCCACATAAGTTTCATGTTTTCAAGCACAGTGGTTCTTGAGAAGAAGATTTTTTAATGATGCCATTAATTTTTCACAAATTCTTAATTATCTCCCCTTGGAAGAAGGTGTTGCCCTTCATTTGAACAAACTTGAATCTCCTTTACCCAAGGATACTTTGTGGCAAGTTTGGTTGAAATTGGCCCAGTGGTTCTTGAGAAGATGTCGAAAATGTGAAAAGTTTACAGACGGACAGACAGACGGACAGCTAGACAGATGGACTACAGACAAAATGTGATCAGAAAAGCTCACTTGAGCCTTCGGCTCAGGTGAGCTAAACACTTCTAGTAATGAAATGTATTCAACAAACATACTGAATTACAATTTTCAAGACAGGATTCAACTAGCAACAGTCTCAACTTGATAAACATAGAAATCATTACTTCTTTTGTATATCAGATTTATGGGACATTAGTCCATCATATAAACCCTAGAAATTTTCAATGAGTGGGATGGATCAAATCCAATCTTGCAGGCTTATGTGGTAGAGACTATTCCTTCTGCTCAACAAATGATGTTTATTAAATGTAAACTACTTTGATTTCTACATTTTTAATTCTGAAATATAATAATTATATAATACATCAAAACTACAGTTTTGTACACTTATATGTTAAATAATATGGATATTTTCACAATTTATACTTTCTTCAGAGCATATTGAAGCAAAATTTGAAGAAAAAAAAGTTTAAAAATTGTTTATTTGGAATCATTTGCAAGGTGTGAGGAGTTTAATGATAAGGAACATTGTTTTGAAACGTTTCCTGCACAGAATGTGGTAGATGCAGATTTATTTTCCAAACACAAGCAAGTGGAGCAGATGCTGTTATTGAGTCTGATCACCTTTACACTTTTACATTAATGTTAAGAATCATAGACCTCATTACCTGTTGAGCAGTTTCTTTTACTACTTCTGCTTAACATGCTAAATATACAGGGTGTTTCATAATATATGTTACATTTTGAATCTAAAATTTGACAAACACAAGAAAACGATACAGACAAATGTTTTCATCAATTTGATCCAGGTATCCATTAGGTTCATTATGTACAATTAACAACTAAAATATTAAACACTGAAATCTCAAACTTTAATGAAAATTAGCGAAATTTCTAAATTGCATCATTTTTTACGTTGAATTTCCAAATGTCAAAACTCACATATGATCAAAATGATCTCATCCTATTTCGACCGCTAGAGAAAGTTGCTTCTTGATTTTTTATAACGTTGTCACACATTTTTGCTAAGACATTAAAAATGAAAGATATATTACGAAACACCCTGTACTATGATTACAAATATCTAGAATTGTATAGAATGTCCGCCATAATTTGAAGAAAGTGAAAATGAAACTTCGTTATTGGGTAATTCGTATGTAAAGTATTCCTGAAAGTGAGATTTTTAGAACAACCTAATCATTACGTATTTCTGAATGTTCTCCATTTGTATTCTCTAATTTTTTTTTTGGTGGAAAAATAAATCATTGAGCATAATTTGGGTGGATTATCTTATGGTAAAGGAAAGTACGACAAATATTTAGTGGTTCTCTGAGTTTAATTTTTTTCAAAAGATTTCTTGAAGCAATAATATGACATTAAATATTATATCAAGAATACCAAAATAACCGCCCTCTTTAAGCAATTTTCTAAGCACCCGTGGCGGTTAAAAGGGATTTTACAGTACCCAGAGTTTCCGAAAACCATCGGTCCTACCGGCAAAACCAATAGAAAATTGAAATTTCTGATGCAATTCGCTATATCACTGGTCCGTATGACTGATCATTTTCTGCATTAACAATCCATTGTTTTTTGTTGTTTTTTTTTAAAAAGTTTTTGTTGTACCTGTAAAGTTTTGTCTTTTTTTTGTAATCTCAAAAGCCTTTAGCGAGTTACCTTCTGGCAATGTAGCAAAATAAATGGGCAGATAATTCTAATCTACACTACTACAAATAATCTAAAGAGTTCCGAATGTCAACATGGCATGTAAATTCAAATCGAGAAAAAAAACATTGAGAAAATAAGTTGAATTTTTGTCCTTATACGGATTATTTTTTAAGGATAAAAGACATATATGCAGGCTCAAAAAGATTTGTTATCAGTACTTCAGTAGTTATTTTCAGTGCAACTTCTTTTGTATTCTTCAAACTTGTTTTGCAGCAGGTTTCCTATTGCCTCTATCGATATGTGTGACATATTTTAACCGTGATTTTGGCTTGTCTCGAGACTCAGTTAAGATTATTCTAATTAATTGTACTCTGATCTATTCCAATGCCTCACAATCGTTGTTGTTACGATCCGCAGAACTATTTACACACTCAATCTTTGTACTTTCAAGGTCAATTTTGACGTTCTACAGCAATTTAAACTATTCTTTCAGGTGAAACAGACCAGTCCTTAAAAATGTCATATTCTTTCGAATTACATCATAATTTATTCGGACTGATAGAATTTGCTTTGGACTGGTAGAATACATTAAGTCATCAGTCCGAAGGACTGATAGAAATATTTGGTTTTAGGAAACTCTGGGTAACCTGTGTTGCCTCCATCACAATATGACTGACATCAAAAACATATCAATCCACCTGATGCTGCATTTAAATTTTGTACAATTTGAGTTTGAATTTGTTTTTGAAGGGAAATTGTTTTCTTTTTTAAACAATGTAAGAAAACTTACTAATGAATATATTTTCGAGCTTTAAAACTGAGTAAATCGATGACCTAGGATCTTTTTGATAACTCGAGTCCTAGAAGTCCCTCTAGGGCTGGAGTAAAAAAGTTCTTACCCTGCAACTTTATTTCTCAATTTCTTGCTGGGCAGGATAGCAATTTCTTCGCATACTCGTTTGTTGGTATGGAAGTCCAAAGTGAGCTTCGTGTAATATTTCTCAATTATTACACGAGCTGCTTTCTTGACGGTCTTCGTTCTTACACGAGCCTATAAACACATTAATACAACATAATATATGTGAAGAAGTACTTTTCTATCAATGCTTTTGTGTACAGAATTGAAACTTGGGACTTTCATAGAAATGTCAACAATACATTTGTTGCGATTTTAAACTATGTTACATGTCTACAGTTGCTTTCATAATGTGTACAGTTATTCAGCAAGAATTAAAGAACACATATGTTATAATTTTATTTCATTTCGTAGGTAGATAGCGGTGGGATGGCACTGATTTTAACGTGTTAAGCATGTATATCTCACCATCTTGATTTATGAACGGAAAAGGAAGTTCAATGAAAACAAAACGATAACAAAACGAAAACCCGGAAAATATTCCCAATTCTAAAATATAGATTATGATTTGGGGTTATAATTTGAATGAAACATTAACTATTTCAATAAATAAATCATTGGTTTTAACATATGAAAGAAAAAAAATTATTCTGTTTTATTATACCGGAAATAAGTTTTCTAATCTAGATCATTTTTTTGCATAGCAATTTAAATTTCCTAGTCGGTCTTGCGCTTTACACAACGACCAATGGTTGACAGGCATTGAAGAAACAATTTTACATTGAATGCAGCGAGAAGGACTTTCCCTTTCTTCTAAATTTATACAAGTCTTTTTAAGAAAAAAGAAGACCAGATATGAATGCATATTCCTTAAATTGCCAATGATTATTGAATCTCAGCAGTTATCAATTACGTGTAAGTTGCAAATCCAGAGCAGTGAGTTAAAGTACAATCAAACTCTGCATCCAAAATTTAGCTACTGCAAGGTAACAGCGAGTGCAGCTTCGCGCCGCTCGTCACTGCGAGCTCTTAAGGGGATGAAGGACACATGGTCACATGACTCTGTTTAACTACGTCATAGTCTCCGTTTATATAAGGGCAAAACGTGTAAAGCATCAGTTCTTGTATAATTTTTTGACATTTTTTTTCTTTAATTACCATCTAATATTAAAAAAAATGAAAAGTTTAACATTCTTGCAAACATTAACAAATTATGAAAAAGGTTGATCCACTCCTCTGTTTCCCTAAACTGCGTGTCCAATTCGTCGGTGACGTCATACACGATCTGTTAGTACGGCAAGATCATACTCAGTGAATACAGAGGCTGTATTATTATGCAAAAACAGGTCATAATCAGTATATGATGAAATATTTTGAGAAACGGGGAACACAAAAATTATTTTTGCATGGCTGATGACGGAATCTTACGTAGGTATATCTTATTTCGCTTATTTAGGTTACGTGTGACGTCATAGATGGTTTTTCCCGTACTCGAGAAATGTAAACATGACATGTTTTTGTTCTGCTTATGTCCTCTTTAACGATGCCCTGTGCAATATTGAAGTCGGCTTCACCATTCGAAATTTTTACAGTTGATCAATAATTAGAAGGACTTGCATTTCAACGTAAATTTAAAAATATTAAATGATAGAATTTTTTGGAAATTGCGTTTTTTTTGTTGTTTAAGTTGTCTTAAAAAGTTCGTAATTTTCCCTATCCAGATGCAGTGTGATAGAAGAAACTTTCTTTTTCGAATTTTAAACCCTATTCAAACTCTAAAATATTTTAAAAGATACATGTTCACTTACATATTTTTTATATATGCTTTAAAAATCCCATTATGGACAGAGTAAAGAGCCCGGAAACGTGGAGAATTAAAACTCCACTTTGATACCGTAGGGCATAGTATTTGTCAATCGATATCTCTAAAATAAGGTAAGAAACCTAATGATATAACTGCTTTAAGATATGTGGGACATACTTAATTAGAAATATACAAAATATAAAAAAAATTGAATGACAAGTATTTTTTCAGCTAAAGGTCCTTCTTCCCCTTAAAACAACGCCTGGGTGAAGAGAAAATTCGGACTTTGCACATTTTCAGCAGTAACCTGTGGTCCCATAATGCAAAAAGTTCCAAGAAAATATAAACTCACCTTGATTTTATGGATACATAGCAGATAAATAGTAGATTAAACCTTCTTTATTAAAATTAGCACTGTTCAGACTTTGTTTTGGTAATGCAACTATACAAGCGACGTCATTTGAGGTCAGAGTCTAGACGTACTAAATGTCACCTGCAGTTTAAAGAGCCCGATCTAAATTAAAACTGAATATATCTGCGCTCGCCCTAACGATCCCACCGTCAGAATATTATGATAATGATAATAAAATTAAACATTGAATAACTGCAAGGTTATCTGATGATGATAATAACATGCATGTTAATTAGGATGTCTAATATAATACGTAAATTGTTGACGGTGCGACCATCTGGGCGAGCGCAGATAGCTATTCAGTTTTAATTCAGATCTGTCTCTTCTATCCTAGCATGACATTTGGTACGTCAATGACGTAGTATGTAAGTTGCATTACCAAACTGAAGCCTGAACAATGCTTATTTTAAATTATGAATGTTTAATCTGCTATTTATCTGCAATATTCTTTAAATCAGGATGAGTTAATTTGTGAACTTTTGTTGTTAACGCGAGAACATAGTTTGAGACAAGATGCAATAAGCCCTGCATTTGGTTCTAGAGGCTACTGCGGAAAAAAGGGCATTGGGAAAATATTATCGGCTATTTGCTGGAATTGGGAAAAAAAATTTAAATCTTGCTAACGTCATGTGTATTCAGGTGTAATTAATTTAACATTTCAGCTTGAACTCTTATTTTGGGCAACCAAACAGACAATTAAATAAATTGATCCAACTTCATCATATACAAGATCAATTTAATAATCAATAATAGAGTAAATAGACTGATAAAACTAAATTTGACTTCAGTGAGTATAAAGTATTTATACAACTTGGGGTAGTACATGTGTGTACAAGATTACAATTTAGGTGATTAAAATCTGTTTCTGGAAATTATAAACCTCCTGCAAAAAAGTATACTTATATAGTGCACATTTTCTCAAAGTTCCCTTTTAATATGTAAAAATGCAATGAAAATAAATTTTGCTATCTGAAATATATGCCAACAGTTCTTAACATTCACTTGTAAATCAATTTAATAGGTGGAAATAACTTAATAAATCAATATTATTACACAATATCACCATTTTTAGAAAAATGGAGAAAATTCGGATTAAAAGTCGGTGATGTTTACTAACTGTTTTTTAAACGTATTTTGACTGTAGCTTTGCTACATGAGATAAAAAAAGACAATTTACAGACAATCTGACAATTTTACTGAGTTTTTTCCAAGATGATTAAATATAAAGCATTGTTCGCCAATTGGGAAAAAATACTGCCAAACTGGGAAAAATTGAACTCAATTTCAATTGGGAATGGGGCAGAATTTCAGCCCCGAGAAGGTACTGATAAATCCCTGATGGTTGTGTATTATATTGATGGTGCCTCGTTGGGGTGAGTGCATTGTATAATATTGGATAGTTTAATACCTATTCATTTTTAACTTGGATATACCTCTTCAAACCGTGCGATACATTTGGAAGGTCTAGACTGTGATGTCACATGCAGTGATAGTCGCAATGCATATTTCCATTATAAAGTCTGAAATGTGCAATTTTTTTAGCAATTAATGAACATCAGAATCTACCATCGATCTGCAATATCTATTTATACAAGGTTATTTATTTTCTATTTGTAAATTTTTGTTTGGTTATTGTTAAAGATTTTTTGGGCACCATTCACAATTTATGGAGGAATGCAGGTACTGAGTTTACTGTGGGAAAAAATTCTGTTGGATCAATGTGCAGAAAGACCAAATTTACTCTTCGCAGGTGTTTCTAAAATGCTCTTGTAGTGAAGAGCTATTACTGAATACCTATTCACAAGGTTGGGACAAATCCCCAAAATGGGATATAAAAGCCCATTTTGGATATATTATCCCCAATGGAATATGGATTTACAGTGCCAAAAAAAAATCATCTTTTTTTGGCTATAAATATTATGTGATAGTAAGGTGTAACGTCAGTCCGTCTGTCTAGCTGTCTGTCTGTTCGTCTGTAATTAATTTTTCAAAATGCTACCCCTCCTACAGTTTTGATCTGATTTCAATATTACTTTTTGCGCACAAGTAGACTACACTAAAATACATACCTCTGTTTATCGGTTTTTGATTTAGATAAGCGATCATTTACTTTGATTACTAAAAATAGGAACTTCTATGAAATACTTTCCAAAATCTACTCCTCCTACAGTTTTAGTCTGATTGCTATAAATCTTGATATGGCATTTCTTAATAATTTCTTTGGACTGGAATAGAAATCTTTAGCCTCTGCACGAAAAGAAACTAAACCAAGAATCATTATTGTATTATAATTGCTGTTGCATATATAGTTTCAAGTTCAAGTGCTACTTTTCTCTTTCTTTTTTTCATTACAAACCAGTTGAGCTACAGTCTCATCAGAGACTTCTGGTTTCACTGTAAATTTATATTCCATTTGGGATATTATATCCCAAACGGGTTATTTTATCCTATTTGGGCGATTGGTTTCAACCTGTTCACTTTAAACATAGATCCACCACTTCATAAAATGGAAGATCTAGCCTGTGTTGTCACATGATGTCATATGTTAGTTACATTTCCATAGCGAAGTTTGAAAAGTGCAATTTCTTAACAAAGAATATTTAGTATACTATCATCTGCAATATCCATTAAACAAATGTTAAATCAAGGTGAGTTTATTTTTTGGTGAACTATTTTTGTTACAGAGAGAATGTAGTTTGAAGTGAGATGCAATTTGCAAAGGACTGGGGGTCCAGATTTTACTGTGGAAAATAATTCATTTGGATCAATGTGCACAATTTTCTCTTCGCCCAGGTGTTATCATAAGAGCTTGCAGTGCTAGTGGCATTTTATGCCATAGACTGCACTCACTGTAATTATTATATTTAATTAGGATATGTTTTAAAGTATTCATATTTTTGCACATGCATCAGTTATTGTTTAAATTAATACCATAAAGAAAACTTTCAATTTATACATATGTGATTTTCTGTGGTCTATCTAATAGAGTCACCCTTTCATTATTAACATAACTTTGATGGGTAAAAGGTAATATATACTGTGTCAAGACCACATCTTTGAAGGAAAGTGTTTCTGATCCCTTGCATTCCTCACAAAGAGAAGGGCCTTTTTTAATATTGGATAGTTTACAATGTGGCCATTCAATTTTATTCATTCATGTTTAATGGTGTGGGTATTATAGGTGAGTGCAGTTGTTGTACCCATTAGCAATCTTGTTTCTATTCACTTCTAACTTGAATCTCCCCTTAATAATTAAGGAATGAATTTAATAGCTACCCAATTTATACGGTATAAAGTGGGTTGGGGCAGTTTACGCTTTATAAAGCGTCAACTGTTCCAACCCACTTTATACCATATAAATTGGGTAGCTATTAATTTCATTCCTTATAATTTAATTTTCATTCATTTAGTTTAAGAAAAAAAGATGTTTTCTCTTAAAAAATGACTTCAAATTGTACAAAATTTAAATGTAACTTAAGGCGGATCGATACGTCTCTGACACAAGTCATTGTGACGTAGGCAACCCAATTTATACGATATAAATAAATTTTTTATCCAATCAAATGGTGCGTTACAATCAGAATTAAATTATTGAACTGGAACAGGAAGGTAAGATGTTAGATACTTTTCATTCATTGTAGCTTATAACATTTATTTTTAATAAATATTACTATAACATTAATAAATTGGAATAGTTACATAGATTCCAGCTGTGATTCAAACAAGGCATATGAAGATGTGATTGTTTTATTTCAAAAGTATATGTCAATCATTTAGTTATAAGTGTTTTTTTGTGTTTTAGATTTATACATTGAAAGTAGATCCTGAAAACTGACAAATATGGGGATTTTAGGAACAATTGGCTGGGGTGTATTACTGAGTTCCAGGCAAGTAAATACATGTTACTGAGGGAATTTGAAAGCATGTTAGCATGTAGATCTATAACGTCCCTGGGATTTTTTTTTTTTACAATTTCATCAAACACCCTGAACATTTATTGGGGCACATAATATGATACTTGATTTTTTAAAATACATGAACCATTACCAATGGGGTCAGACCATGGCAGGGAACTTCAAATTCCTATTGAAATTTTTATTTAAGCATTCATTATTGTGAAGTATTTTTTGGAAAATATTCTTAATTTGTGTTATACTGAATTTTTAGCACTATTGTGTATGGTACCTACTCCATCCTTGTTCATCTTTGTGAAGTAAATGGAAAAGTTCCATTCAAGTCTTCATCTGTTGTACTGATTATTGAAGTAGGAAAAGTAAGTATGCTTACAGAACCCAGTACAAAATTTAAAGATCAAAGATTGAATTGATTACAGTTTGTTGAAAGAAAATACAGCATCACATGGTGTGAGTTTGAAGTCTATCTATTAGAAATCAAAATTGAACTGTATATATTGTAAAATCTTCAGTTTGAAAATGATGAATCTTCTGTTTGTACAGGAAGTCCAATTGAAATTAAGTTGCATCATACGATAATATTTAAGTCATCACATATTCATTTATACTCATATTTGCGAAAAAAGGTATTCAAGATTTATTGCTCATCAAATTGAGGTAAGCACATGTTTTTGGGTATAAAAATAATTTTATTTACTTAACTAAGTATTACTAAACTTTATATATCAAACAGTAAAGGTTCATAGTGGGTCAACAAATTTAGCTCTTATTCTTTTTTTTATTCACACCTCTTCTTATGTCATTTTCAGAATTATCATTCTTATGCCATATAACACTGTCTGATTCCCCCATTACTGAGTTAGCCTGTTCTTTCTTGGTAGTATTTCTTCTTATACACAACATTTCCTCAGGTAAATTGTATTACAATGCATAATGGCCGGTGTGGTCAGTGAAGATCAAACCTAGTTTTTACATATACATGTAATGTATAGAAATCCATGCAGTATAACAGAATGCTTCTGTCCTCTTTTCCTCTTCTCTAAGCATTATATTTGTTATTGTAATTTGTTACATACAAAGCAGAATTTCATTTTTCACTGCAGTATTAGTACCAATTTTTGCTTCTACCTGGTAATTCTTTGGGATCATCTTACCTCTTTTTACTCTGTCCAGAATGGTTGAATTGCTTAACAAACTTTGCATAGATGTTAATGTGGTTTTTTTGAAAGCAAAAGAATTTTAGAATGATACCTCTTATTTTGCATCTAAATAAGTAAACTACACAACAAGTGGAAAATACTGTGTAAACAACATCATTTTTGGACCATTTTATTTTTACTCCATTTGCGACAAATTTTAGAGGGGGGTTATTTAACAAATAACAAACAGCTCTGAAGAAACAAAGCATTCATCTATAATTGATTTTAGAATTGAGCAAGGTTTATTTTTCGTTACATATTTGGCAAAAAATTTCAATACAGTATGTATATACTGTACGGTAATGAATTAGTTGTGTATTTGTGGATTTTTGTTCTTTATAGTTCTTGGTGTCATGGATACTGCTGTTATGGCAGACAAAGGGAAGCCTTCCAAAAGATGTGACATTTTTCTGTTTCCTTCAATATTCAGTCCCAGGCTTGTTGTACAGTGTCAGTAACAACCTCTCTATGATGATGCAGGTTTATATGGATCCTACCACGTTTCAGGTAAACCTTGTATGTTTACGTGATACCAAGTAAGATATTCCCTTTATTTATGAAAACAATGCACGTAATAAAGAGGACACAGAATGCTGTGACTGAAAAAAGGGCATAAATTTTCAAGCTTAATGGGCAATGTAGGTCAGTTTTGATGATGGAGATTACAGAGCTTGAGAAAATTTCTTGATAGTGTTTCAGTGAACTACCATTAATAGCAAAATAGATCTGCATTTAATACTGTATTGTTTGTCAGTATTAAAGATTCTTATATAATTTGATGATTGAAAATGTTGAATAAATGTGTAGAATATGTGTACTAATGAAAAGACAGTTTATGTGTTTGAGGAAGTATTACTCTAAAGCAATTTTTGTCATATATTGATTTATTAAGTGTTCTGTACCATAAAAATTTTCAAATTTGCCTCTTAAATATACAGGCACTTTCAGGATTGTGCAAACTTTTCAGCTGAAGATCCTGCATGATTGCTTCTGTTTGAATGATTAGGTAAATTTATTATCTGTGGGTGAAAATTAATAAACTTCCAGAAGTTTGCACATTTTCTAACTTACTCACAAGGATGTAGACTTCTTTCTTCTTCATGCTCCATGGCATATTAGATCCTAACTCTGATTGTATCTACCGGTAGTAACTTTGTAAAATGCAGTCTTTTCTTGATATACATGTTTATATTGCGATCTAGTTAGAGATTGTGTTTAAAGGGGCCTAGACACAGATTTGAAGTTAATATTTTCTCAATTTTTCTGTATAATATGATGACTTATATGTTGCTATAGCATTTCACATGGAAATATAATTAAAAAAAAACTTATTTTATCTGGAAATTATTGAATCTACAAATTTCGGGACGCCTTTGATTGACACATCTTTGCACTTTCACAAAGTAAACTTTATCCTTAATTAATACTTAAGAAAAGTAGAAATTTTGTTGTGTAATGAAAAATATTGAAACTATTATCCAGAAAATTCAGAGTAGAAATTTGAGAATGCAAAACCAACTCATCAGTATAGTCAGTCCATGCTTAGTGATGTGTGCAGAGTTTAACAATTTGAATACACCCGGTGAAATGTAAACTGTTTTTGTAAACAAAGCACAAGCTCTGTTACTGTTAATGCTTGCATTTCATCAGGTGTGTTCAATTTGTCAACTTTTTGATAGCCTTTTAATTACAACTTATTTGTCAGTAGATCAGTAGATACATTTTACAATAAATACATATACACATAACATTGAATTTGTGTTAAAAAGTTTGCAATAGATAGTTGTGATGAGGGTGACTATATGGAGGTAATTTGGGGATTGACAACATATTGAGAGAAGACTGTAACTATTGAGGTTTCACTTAGTACCAATATGCGCTTGTTTTTTTTAGTATAATTTCTTACCATTATAGACATTACTTTTAAGACAATCATCTGTTTAACGACACATACTGAATACAGCTTTGTCTCATCTGCAGTTCTGCTTTGTGGGAGGAAAAATACTTAATGCTACAGAGAAAGAAGTTTGATATATATATATATATATATATATATATATATATATATATATATATATATATATATATATATATATATATATATATATATATATATATATATATATATATGATTAGTGGTGGATGGAAAACCATAATTTTGAAATGATGGGAGACTGCAAAATAAACTTTAAGTGAAAACAAAGCTGTATACAGTGACTTGTAATGGGAAAACAAAGCTGTATACAGTGACTTATATGGGAAAATAAAGCTGATTAGTGGTGGATGGAAAACCATAATTTTGAAATGATGGGAGACTGCAAAATAAACTTTAAGTGAAAACAAAGCTGTATACAGTGACTTAAATATAACGGGAAAACAAAGTTGTATATAGTGACTTATAATGGGAATTATTAACCATGATTTCACCGAGTATAGTTTATGTAGATGACTAATATCCTGTAGTTTTGTTTTGGAGATAACTTATTGTCATATCAGTTGGTTTGATTTTTTAAATTGAAAAAATTAACATTGAAGAATTATGAAAGTTTCTTCAAATAACTGACAAATATTTTTTTTATTTATTTACAGATGCAAAATAAAGCATACAATGCAAATTTATAGAAATAATTTGAAGTTGATTGCTAATAGAGAGGAGAGAGAATACAGTGAAAATCTATCTTTGGTTACCTTTCATTAGAGTACTAGAAGTACAAAACTAATCATCATATCTTAATAACTTATGTATTTCTGTTTAAAATATGAATGAAAGACAGTAAGGTGTGCAGTTTCTATAATTGGAATGAAAAGACAATTGATCATATACTGTTGGAGTGTCCCATTGTTCTTTGATCTTTAAATCTTACATATAAAAAGAAGCAATGTCTACATGAAAAGTTATCAATTTGTTGAATATTTAAAGATATTAAAATTCATCTCTCAACATCAAAATATATAGCTACCCAAATTTTTTTATAAAAAATTATACTTTTTTTAATGAACATGCAATGACAAAGTTGTGTAAGTTGTAGCCTCTAGCTCTGATCAATTAAAGTGTAAGTGACTCAATATCTTCCTCAATTAATATGAATAGGCCAAGTATTATGTTCAGGCAATTGGGATTTTAAATTGTTCAAAACATCAACTTTTCAAAATATGTGGTGTAAAATGATACACCATAGCCTGTTTCCTGTTTTGTTTATGAAACAATTCTACCTCTTACAACTTATTATATCATTCTTGGTTTACTGCATACTCAGTTTGCACCGATAGGTTCTAATGCAGAAAATAATTCAATAGATATCTATATGAACAAATTGTAAGCTATGTGATCATGAGAAGAAATCCATCCAGTTAGTGTAGTGTGTTTAGTTTCTTTGAAACTATTACTTGAATTCAGTAACTTGTACTTCAGTGCAGTAATTTTATTTTTCATATGATTCATTATTAATTACCAGTATATATTTTTGATTTACTTTGTCATTTTAGGTGCTAAGCAATCTTAAAATAGGCATAACAGCTTTGTTGTATTGGAGTTTCCTAAGAAGGTATGTGGTCCTGTAATGCTAAAATTTTAAACTGCACACAGAATAAATTCTGAATTGTTTAGTTCACCCCCAGATTTTGGAAAGTTAACATTAAATCTTATTATGATTGAGTAATTCCTAGCTTTCTGATTGGCTGAGATCCATCATATTGTAGAAATTGTAATAAGTTGTGTTCTCCTGCACAAGACCTTCCAGGTGAACATAATTGAACATAACATTTATTTTTTTCTACATTGGTCTAAAAATAGATTGAGAACTTCCAGATTGATACAATTACTTATAAAAAGTTTTTCACCTGCACCCTACCTTCCAGGTGAACATTTGTTTTTTCTATATTGGACCAAAAATAGATTGCGAACTTTCAAGTTGATACAATTGATTATGAAAAGTTATTTCAGCTGCACCCTACTTTTTAGGTGAACATAACATTTTTTTTCTACATCACTCAAAAAAAGTGAAAAATTTCCAAATTAATATAAGTGAATATATTTATTTTATCTTACTTCTCTCACTGCATTCAGCTAGGACTTAAACAAATGTAATTAATCAAGAAAAGTGGCAAGGTTTGCTTACCGAGTTTGTATCATTTTTTCATTGAATCATATAATAAAACAATTATTGCTGTTTTTTTTAGTCACAATAATTTAGCAACTTTCAAAGTAGTTAGTACAGTATTTACCTTACTCTTCAGGCTCAGTAAATATTGTACTTTTCATGTGGCTAAATCATTATATTGACCTCAAAACAGCAATACTTGTATAATATTTAGCAAAGATGAAAGATAACTTTCCACTAAAACAAGATGTAATTCAGTAAGTTATAAGTACAGTATCGTAAGATGTCCAGTTTACAAACAAGCTAATATATCCAACACAATGTTGAAACAAAGAGAAAGTAAGTGGATTACCTTGACAACATATTTTACAGGCCCCTGTCTCTACGTCAGTGGATTGCTATAGGAATTTTAACAACAGCAGGATTCCTTGACAGGTAGTGTTTTTTCCCGTGTCAGTGGAATTAGGTAATCTATTGAATCACTCTTGATAATCTTTCTTTCAAAAACAAGCCACATATTAAATTGCAAATTTATGAACTATAGAAAAGTCATTTAGGCCCAAGCTTGTGACAAAGTCACATATGGAAATGTATATGTATGAAATATATCTTTTCTTTAAACTGTCACTGATAGTCAAGGTATGTATATAATTTAATTATGAAATTGAGCCTTTTACAAGGATTCTGAAATTCATTACCCATGAGTAAAGGGTGAGACCCCATGGTATATCTTATTTATTTACAAAGAATACAAGTCTTTTTAAAATCCTCTTTACACTTTGGGATCCTGTATTTGTAGAAAATTTTATATAATGAAATTCAAATTATGTCCACATTGCACTTTACCAAGATTTCAAAACTTGAAGGTGGAATATAATTGAGAGTGACTCAGTGTTTGGCAGTCATGGTCAAAGGTCATGTATACAAGGTCAAGGACACTTGAGCATGAAAAATGGAGAAGTTTAAACTTGAATAAAAGTTGTAAGTGTCAACCAAGAACAGCAACATTGGAAGCATAACTCAATATTTAAAAAATGGCGAAGGAACAGAGGTTGTTGCGGCTTATTTGAACAGCTTCATTGTCAGAAGGAGGAAGATATATGGAACCAAGAAATGTGTAAGAGGATGTCTTGTAATCTCTACTCAAGGTCACTGGGACAAGGTCAATCAACATTTTAGGGGTAAAAACTGTGTCCCTGGATTGGAACCATTTAGGATTCAAATTTTTGATAAGATTCACTGGTTATGTAGACAACATTGTCACCAAAGTAACTCTGTAGTACCGAGGAAAAAGCTTGGTACAAGGTCCTTACTTTGTCAGTTTTCTTTGTGGGATTCATTTCATGTACACTTTAATAATCCAGCTTTTTACATTAACAGGGAGAGAGAAAATAAAATTTTGCAAATCTTGCTGTGTTTTTCAAGATTCAAAAGATTCTTGAATTTAATTGTTTCCCCCAGCTTTTTGCGTTACTATAAAGTGTTCTTTTACAGCTATGGAAGTTATGTGTCCAAAGGGAAGGAATTTTCTGAGCTATACATCACAATTACAGGACTTGTCATGATTGGAGTCCAATGTACCGTGTCAGGGATGGCTTCTGTGTATGCAGAGTATATACTTAAAAAGCAAAAAGAGGTAAATTATTCAGTTAGGATTCACAAGTATGACAAAAAATATTTGTCATATGTTTAAAGGATGATATTATCCGCTTTAAATAAGCTTAAAAATCTTTATTGTCCCAGCTTTCACAAGAGCGAGCGAGTTTTGAATGAGAAAAGATAGGGTTTTCATATTTCAGATGTTTATTACCTATGGCAAGACCTTTTCAAATATACTATGATTTTTGACATTGTGACCTTGACCTTGGAGTTTGACCTACTTTAAAAAATATACAATGGTCATAACTCTTGAATGAGAGAAGATAGGGTGTTAATATTTCACATGTGCATTACCTGTGACCAGACCTTTCCTGTGATTTTTGACTTCATGACGAAGTTTTAACTACTTTTCAAAAACTTTAACATTGGTACACATAAAAACTTTAGAATCAGTGAAGAAAGGGCTTTTATATTTTACTTGTACATTACCTGTGACAACACCTTTCAGAAAGTAGTACAACTGCATTATTTTTTGACCTCATGACCTTGATCTAGAAGTTTGACCTACTTTTCCAAAGTTTTAACTTTTGCTGTTACTTTTGCACCAGGAGAGACAGAGCCTTCATATTTTTATGACCCGTATTGAAGATTCGTTGGTATATAGTTTTTGCCCTGTCCGTCCGTCTGTTTATTTGTCTGTTTGTCCGCAAAAACATTAACCTTGCCGATAACTTTTGATTGGTTGGAGCTATGGCTTTCATATTTCACATGTGTTTTCCTTGTGACAGGGCCTTTCTTTGGGTACCACCATATTTGACCTTTTGACCTTGACCTTGGAGTTTGACCCAGTTTAGCAAAATTTTACCAAACTTTAACCTTGGCCATTACTTTTGAATGGTTAGTGCTAGGGCTTTCATACTCCTCAATGTATTCCATGTGACAAGACCTTTCTTTGGATACCAACAACTTTGACCCTTTGACCTTGACCTTGGAGTTTGACCTACTTTTTGGAAAACTTCGATCTTGGCCATAACTTTTGAATGGTTGGTGCTAGGGCTTTCATACTTCACATATGTATTCCTTGTGACAAGACCTTTCTTTGGATACCAACAACTTTGACCTTTTGACCTTGGAGTTTGACTTACTTTTGGAAAACTTTATCCTTGGCCATAACTTTTGAACAGTTTGTGCTAGGGCTTTCATACTTCATATATGTATTCCTTGTGACAAGACCTTTCTTTGGATACAAACAACTTTGACCCTTTGACCTTGACCTTGGAGTTTGACTTACTTTTGGAAAACTTTATCCTTGGCCATAACTTTTGAACAGTTTGTGCTAGGGCTTTCATACTTCAGATATGTATTCCTTGTGACAAGACCTTTCTTTGGATACAAACAACTTTGACCCTTTGACCTTGGAGTTTGACCTACTTTTGGAAAACTTTAATCTTGGTCATAACTTTTGAACGATTGGTGCTTCGGTTTTCATATTTCACCTAAGTATTTCTTGGGAGAAGGCCTTTCCTTGGGCACCCTTAATTTTGACCATTTGGCCTTGACCTTGATGTTTGACACACTTTTGAAAAAACTTTCACCTTTTCCATATCTATTCAATGATTGCTGCTAGGGCTTTCATATTTCACAGGTTTATTCCTCGAGACAAGACCTTACTTTTGGACCAACATATTTGATTTGCATTTGAGAAAGTTTAACCTTTGCTATAAGTTACCATACGGGGGCATCAGTGTTTCACAAACACATCTTGTTTCACATGTACATTAATTGTAAACAAGACCTTTCAGAATGTTTTATGATATTTGACTTCATGACCTTGAAGTTTAATGCAGTTTTCAGAAACTTTTATCATTGTTGTAACTTTTATTAATTCCAAAATTTTAATATTTTTGTATGATGGACAGACAGGACAGGACAGGACAGACAGACAATACAGTTACAGTATGCCATAAATAATTGCATCCCAAACAATAAGACCCCGAAAACCAGGGACCACAATTATCTGAATTTGCTTGTTAATCTCAAGTTCACCTAAGCCAAAAGCTCAAATGATGGCCAAGTATGGCTAGAGTTGGGCTATCATAGCAGATCAAAGTTGAATCAAAGTGTTATATGAGATAGTTAGAGACTTTCTCAGTGACAACCTGCAATCACTTAGTATACCATACTCTGGATTATGAATTCTTGAAAACAGATGCATTAGGTTTAGGTCCACAATAAAGGGTCTCCTTCACTTCTTCATTTGTTGGGAAGGGAAATGTTACTCTTATTTGTGTGTTTTTGAGGGAAAAAAAGGTGTGTGTGTGTGTGTTAAAGGGTGGGGGGGGGGGGGGGGGAGGGGAGGGGGGTCTGTCATATAAGAATGCATTTACTTCATTTGCAAGAACTTTTAGTACATGTATTTTTGAATTAATTTTTCATACAAAAATAAGCAATATTTGTATTACACTGTGCATTTGTTTTAGATGTCCCTCCACTTTCAAAACATTATGCTGTACACTTGGTTAATTATCATTAACACTTCCTTTTGGATCTATGAAGAAACAGTTCATGAAGAAAAAGGTAAATGACTAAATATGATAAAATTCTACCTGAACACTTCTTGACAAATTTAGAATTATAAGTAACTGGCCTCTTTCTCTTGTAAAGAAGATGAAATAGAATTCATTCTCTGATAGATATGATGTACATGTATATTGTTCTAATAGAAAGTAGATTAAATTATTTTGATTTAAATCCTGGTCTCTGAACTTTTAATGCTCAAATTAATGGCACTTTGAAAATCTTTCACCTCAGTGGATTACCTGGCAGAAGATGCAAGTAAATTTCTATATGCATCCACTCAATGAACTTGGGAAAGAGGAGGGATGCACAACAGTTTTTACAAAGGGATTCAATTAATTTTACCTGTTAGAATATCATATAAATGTAGTTTTTTCTGCAGAATCATAATTTTTGTTCGATCCACTGGTAGAAAATTACACAGATTTCTTAATTGCCACTATACGCCTTAAATGTACTTAAAAGCAATACGAGCTGCATTTTTGATTATTTTGCTGTTAAAATGTGGTGTTATGATAAATCTGTATGTAATTTAAACCTTTATGATCAATTAGTCTAAAATAAAGTATTATTTTTGATCAGAAGAAATATTTTTGTACAATGGAATGTTTAGTGTTATATAAGAAATCAATATTGTACAGGATGACAATAATGCAATTTTGCTTCAATCAAAGCTTATATGAAATAGTTCTTCCATCACAAATATTAACAACAGAAATTTTTTAAACCTTCTTTTTTCTGCCATTGAAATAGATAACTACATATTGACACAAAAAATTCCGATAATTACATATTGACACAAAAATTTCTGACACCAAAGTAGCAGCTCATATTGCTTTAAGTACACAGGGACAAATTTGCAGAGAAAATTTGTGACCTCATACACAGAGTAAATTAATACCATGCAGAAAAAAGTACAGTGTACTTCTACAGTAAACACTGAATTTGACTGTTGCATTGCAGACATCACTAAGAAGTTTCACATATTCAGAGGTTATTCATTGGCTACTTGGATGATTGTTATTACCCAGGTAAATATAATGTACTCTTTTTTAAACTTGTAAGTTATCAATATTTTTATTACATACAAATAAACAGCTAGAAATTTTGTATATCAATATTTGTAGACAAGTATTTGTGACATTCTTTGTTAATTTTTGGTTAATCTGAGAAATACTTTGAATAATTTTGTAGATATATGTTGGTCTAGCGATGTCCTTCATCTTGAAACATGCCAGTAACATTACCCGCCTGTTTGTGGTGTCTTCCTCTCTGAGCGTGACAACCATTCTATCTGTGCTAGTCTTTGGATTACACTTAAATTCTTTCTTTTTCACATCACTAGGATTATTATTGTTATCTCTGTATCTGTTTCATGGTGCCAAATGATTCTTGTGTATTATATATGGTATTACAAAATTTAACAGATGTTGGTATATATAATTTTTTTAAATGGATGTGTAAATGGCTTTGATTTAGACATTGTACACCCTACGTAATAGTCACAAACATGTTGTTTTGGGTTTTTTTCCATACTTGCCAGAGTTATATTGTGTCTTTTATAGATTTTTTTTATTTTATTTTATTTTGAAAATAGTCAGCGTTTATCAGCATTTATGTAGATTTGTATAGACTTAATTGAGGTACCGGTATGTGCCAATTTTTATGTGCAAAGTGTGTGTGTTCAAATTTTCTTTAACAAGAAGAATAATTTACTTAATTGAATTTTTTTTTATTAAAAAATGAATGGATCAATTAATTTCAGCTGAGAGAAACAACATTGTTTTCTTTATTTTTTTGTTTTATTTGATAGACAAAACATTTGCCCAAAAAAACTTTATAGAAAGATAAAGTTAGGAATAAAAAAAAATTGGATGCTGCATAGATAATAAAATTGATGAAGATACATGTTTATAAGATTTTATAAATTTCACAGTTTTTGAGGGGATCCAAACATCTTTTACATTCACATGTTTTACCATAATTTCCTCCTCGCTTCCAACAATTTCATTTAGTTTTATTAAATGGTTTCAGATATTGTTTTGTGTAAAATTAATTATATTCATACTAGCTTTGAGGAAATTTTCTTAAGATGTGCGCTTTAAAATCATAACTTTATTTTAAACAAACTAAACAAATATTAGAGAGAGAGAGAGAAAAGTTTATAAGGAAGAAAAATCATATTTTTTTGAATATCAAAGCTTTGATGATAGAAAATATTCAGTTTATATGTCATTATGCCAGAGGAATTTTAATTTTCTTGGCTTTGTTGGTTTCTACATTACATTATTACCTATTGACTCAAAGGCTGTATAGAATATTGGTATTTTAATAGGTTAAGTTTTGTAATTTTTTGTTACATTTTATTATTCTATGACTGGATGCAAAGTACAGTTGAGCTTCGCTATCCTCATCTTCGCTAGCCATGGGTTTCTGATACGCTACTCTCCTCATAAACCCTTGGCATACGGTGCTGACAAAGGACGGGATTGTTTTGTCACGTGATCATGATTCTTACCAGGTACGCACAGATTGCGTCATCGACAGAAATAAAAAGCGTATTTAAAAAAATTTTGTTTTTAAAGAATAATTAACAAGAAGGTATTGAGTTATGTTAATTTGTTATTTAAACATGTAAAAATGCAAATCTACATATTCAGTATAGATTCTTAATCACATATTTTGCACGTTGCTTTAGAAATTGGATGACACCATATTGCTATTCATAGAATGGCATGTTATCTTACGGATCATTGTTTACTTGCATTTTACATTACCGATATTAAAGAGTCAAGATATATCCCGAACGCAAATATCATCATTTACAAAAAACAATTGCTGATTGGTCGAACGATGTCGATCAACTCCAATCACAACTTGAGAAAAAAATCCCAACTTTTTTTAACACCGTATGCCAAGGGCTTATGAGGAGAGTAGCGTATCAGAAGCCCTTGGCTAGCGAAGATGCGCTATCCTAAACTCTGATATCTTGAATACCATGGATATGTCAAACTGATCTGGAAGTCCCAAGCACTTATTCTTTAAGTGTTTTACCCTTGATATCTCGAATCCTCAGATATCTAGAAGTTTTTTCTCTGCCCCATCAGGTTTGAGATAACAAGGTTTGACTGTATGTGGATTGTTGACTTCAGAACCGTAGCTCTCTGGGAAAGAAAATTTAGAAAGACATATCATACTCTGGTATGTCTGTGATTTTTCTTTTCCAGAGAGCTACAGTTCCACAGATAAAAATGGAATGTTCATGCCTTCAGTCTGTATGCATAATTAATGCAATGACATGTAAAATTGTTGATCAAAATTTGCATATTCAGAAATTCAAGCTAAGAATTGCTGAATCATCAAATATATTAATTTTCTATCAAATAAATTTAAATGGATGACTTTAAATAGCATGTAAACTTTGTTATGTCAAAAAATGTTGAAAGGTGATAAAAACCATTGAAGTTAAAGTAAGATATAATATTTTGAGAACTATTTTGTATCTTAGCCATATTATCCTTGTGGATAAATTATGCCTTTTAATCATTTTGTTGTGTGCCATATATAATAAGGAGATTAAATTTTCATGGTTATTGAATTGCCCAGCAAATTCATAATTTGTTTACCTTTTTTGCTTTTATGCATATTTGGTTGTTTGTTTTTTTGTTTTGGGGGGGGGGGGAGGGGGGATCTCAACTGGGCTGTTCCAAGTTCATTTCAGACCAGGGGTATTTTGGTCTTATTCAATGTTCATACATTGAATGTTTATTGTAAAGTTGAAGGTTTATCAAAACTTTTAAAAAATACATGTATTGAAAAGAAACTGGTACATTAAGTTACACTTAATTGTTACCAGTCTATGCATTGTTGGTTTTCTAATAATTACACTACATTTGATGTTGAATGTAGTGTAATGGTGAGAAGACCTGATTCTGATGTTGTAGTCTGTGGAAAAAAGTTAAAATTCTGCAGTATTACTGGTACTTAAGTTTGCTATGTCTGCCATGTTCAGCAACTGTTACAAAATATTTTTTTTATATGTTTGGGTTTTTTAGCTCACCTGAGCTGAAAGCTCAAGTGAGCTTTTCTGATCACCCGTTGTCCGTCCGTCCATCTAGCTGTCCGTCCGTCCGTCTGTAAACTTTTCACATTTTCAACTTCTTCTCAAGAACCACTAGGCCAATTTTAACCAAACTTGGTACAAAGCATCCTTGGGTGAAGGGGAGTTTAAATTGTAAAAATGAAGGGCCAAGTCCCCTTCAAAGGGGAGATAATCAAGAAAATACGAAAATTGGGTGAGGTCATTAAAAAATCTTCTTCTCAAGAACCACTGGGCCAGAAAAGCTGAAACTTATGTGGAAGCATCCTGGGGTAGTGTAGATTTTAAACTGTTCAAATCATGACCCCTGGGGGTAGGGCAGGGCCACAATAAGGAATCCAAGATTTACATTGAAATATGTAGTAAAAATCTTCTTCTCAAGAACCACTGGGCCAGAAAAGCTGAAACTTATGTGGAAACATCCTGGGGTAGTGTAGATTCTAAATTGTTCAAATTATGACCCCCGGGGGTAGGGCGGGGCCACAAGAGGGAATCCAAGTTTTACATTGAAGTATGTAGTATAAATCTTTAAAAATCTTCTTCTCAAGAACCACTGGGCCAGAGAAGCAGAAACTTACATGGAAGCATCTTGGGGTAGTGTAGATTCTTAATTGTTCAAATCATGAACCCCGGGGGTAGGGCGGGGCCACAATAAGGAATCCAAGTATTACATTGAAATATGTAGTAAAAATCTTCTTCTCAAGAACCTCTGGGCCAGAAAGGCTGAAACTTAAATGGAAGCATCCTGGGGTAGTGTAGATTCTAAATTGTTCAAATCATGACCCCTGGGGGTAGGGCGGGGTCACAATAGGGAATCCAAGTTTTACATTTAATTATGCAGAAAAAATCTTTAAAAATCTTCTTCTCAAGAACCACTGGGCCAGAAAGGCTGAAACTTATGTGGAAGCATCCTGGGGTAGTGTAGATTCTAACTGTTCAAATCATGACTCCTGGGGGTAGGGCAGGGCCACAATAAGTACTACAAGGTAGGGGGGGAGGGGATCAGGTGAAAAACAGCAAGGCCAAAGTTACTCAGGTGAGCGTTTTGGCCCATGGGCCTCTTGTTTATGTTTACCTTTTTCATAGCTCAGTTCTACAAGGAGTTTATGCAATTTGGTGTCAGCACACCTCTTTTGGATTTTAGATCAGGTTCATTGATAAATATGAGCTCTGCTTGTACAAAAAAATGCATGTAGGGATGCATACAACCAGTGGAACTGGCTGGCTTAAAATGGTGGAGTTTACTATGTATCTTAATTTTGCCTTACAGATTACATTTGTCAATGTGAGCTTTGTACTTTTTTGTTATCTTGTACCTGTTGTATTATTGAATTTATGGAAAACATCTTTACTGACAATTGTATATTAAGGGGTTGTATACTAGTATCTTCAACCAAAATAAAGATTCTGTAAATACAATTGTCAATCAAAATTCATCACAGTGAATGGCCGAATCTAGAGAGATCGTCAGAATTACTTGCTATTCTTTTGCACTACTTGTTGAAAAATACTTGTTATAAGTTGGAGTACACCATATTTTCTATAAACAGGTTTGACAACAGAGGCAATTAAATTTTTTTTATAGAATAATTATTGCTGAATGATTCCAGTTGTTAATGCACTGGCTAAAAGGCATTTTATTAAAAATACTGAGTATTGTTTACTTTGACCCCATGTAAATTCAGGCTGATGTTGGTTCCCTTTTCCATTAGATGTCTATAAAAGAATCACAAAAAATCAAACATAGTATTCACTGGGTTTGTATTTGCCATTTATTTGAATGGTAAAACACAATTTCCTGTGTACTGTGAAAGAAATTACAAATTTTTTCCCATCTTATATATATATATATATATATATATATATATATATATATATATATATATATATATATATATATACACAATTCAACTTTGGTATCTCGAACACCGATATCTCAAATACCTTTGATATGACAAAGTGATTTGGAAGTCGGTCCCATCAAGTTCAAGATAACAAGGTTTGACTGTATATATATATATAACTCTACACCACTTTCCATGAAAATCGAATCCCTGCATATCGGTATTTTCCCATAGAACAGGAAAATTTGACCCCACAGAAATAAGTGATTTTACAGTAATTGCCTAATCTGGCAGTTAAGAATTAAACTATTATGACAGGATGTCACACTCAATATGCCAGAGTTTGATATACACATGTACATTGTTATGCCTGCTCTAACTATATGGTCTGTAATTTAATTTGTGCATATTTGATAAAGGGAAAAAAATGGCATACGGAAGAATTCTTTTCTTCTTTGAAGCCAGAGTGACAGTGATTCTAAAAATTCAAACTTAATTTCCTGTACCCATTATTTTGACCTTGTCCTAATAACCATGAGTTGAGGTCATGGTTATTCTTAGGTCACATACACTCTGCATGAAATGAGCTTCAAATGTTTTTTTTAGCTCACCTCAATGAAGTTGGGGGAGCTTATGTAATACTTTCGGCGTCGGCATCCCAGGTTAAAGTTTTTAGTGCACTCAGCAGCAGCTTTTTCTTTTCAAGTTCTTCTGTGCCCTATATTAATCAGAGATGCATGGTGGATGCTTACAGTATGTTTCATTGTACCAGTCAAGGTTTCAGATGCTGCAATTTCAGCTGAAGAATGACCAGGTTAATGTTTTTGGACCATGTTAAAGTTCTTAGAGCACCTAGATTAAAGTTTTTGGAGCAGGTCTCATTTACAAGTAACTATAAGTCCTATATTGACCAAACTTGGGATGATACATCTAAGGAAACACACTAATGGACTTGCTTTGGATGCTGGATCTGACCTACATTTTCCTGATGAGTGACTCGGTTAAAGTTTTTAGAGCAGGTCTCATTTCCAAGTAACTATAAGTCCTATGTTGACCAAACTTGCATGGGTGATACATCTAAGGATGCACACTACTGGACTTGCTTTGGATGCTGGATCTAACCTACATTTTCCAGATGAGTGACCAGGTTAAATTTTTTAGAGCAGGTCTCTTTTCCAAGTAACTTTAAGCCCTATATTGACCAAACTTGCATGGATGATACATCTAAGGATGCACACTTTTGGACTTGCTTCGGATGCTGGATCTGACCTACATTTTCCTGATGAGTGACCAGGTTAAAGTTTTTAGAGCAGGTCTCATTTCCAAGTAACTGTAAGTCCTATGTTGATCAAACTTGCATGGATGATACATCTAAGGATGCACACTACTGGACTTGCTTTGGATGCTAGATCTAACCTACATTTTCCAGATGAGTGACCAGGTTAAAGTTTTTAGAGCAGGTCTTTTTCCAAGTAACTTTAAGCCCTATATTGACCAAACTTGCATGGATGATACATCTAAGGATGCACACTTTTGGACTTGCTTCAGATGCTGGATCTAACTACATTTTCCGGATGAGTGACCAGGTTAAAGTTTTTAGAGCAGGTCTCATTTCCAAGTAACCATAAGTCCTATGTTGACCAAACTTGCATGGGTGATACATATAAGGATGCACACTACTGGACTAGCTTTGGATGCTGGATCTGACCTACATTTTCCAGATGAGTGACCAGGTTAAAGTTTTTAGAGCAGGTCTCATTTCCAAGTAACTATAAGTCCTATGTTGACCAAACTTGCATGGATGATACATCTAAGGATGCACACTACTGGACTTGTACGGATGCTGGAACTGACCTACATTTTCTGGATGAGTGACCAGGTTAAAGTTTTTAGCGCAGTCTCATTTCCAAATAACTTTAAGCCCAATAATGACCAAACTTGCATGGATGATACATCTAAGGATGCACACTGTTGAACTTGCTTTGGATGCTGGATCTGACCTACATTTTCCAGATGAGTGACCAGGTTAAAGTAAACTATAAGGGCTATCTGAACCAAACTTGCACAGATGATGCATCACAGGATGAACACTCTCAAACTTGCTTCAGATGCTGGATATGACTTACATTTGCTGGATGAGTGACTAGTTTAAAGTTTTTAGGTAAGTCCATTCCCAAGTAACTGCAAGCCCTATCGGACCATCTAGGGATGCACACTACTAGATTATTAGTTTGGGACTTTGCCTTACTTAAAGACAACATCCGTTGAAGTGAGCTCTGTAATCTCTGATTACTTATGTTTTTTTCTATAACAAAGTTATTGACCAGATCATTATGAATGAAATATTTTAAGTCCCTGCTATCTTCACAATGTTCATATCTAGGATCAGTCATGACAAACTCTTTGGTAAAAACTACTTTGTAATGTTACAAAGTAACAAAGTTATGGGCCAGACAAAGCACACTTTTCAATCCTGTCTCCTTGTGAATTACCGGTACCTGTTCATAGACATCTTCATTACAAATACCAGACAATTTTTTTTCTATGACCTTGACCCTATTCAAATGATTTTATTTTCCAGTCAGGACATGCCTCTAGTCATAAGATCCTATATATAGTCTCCAAGTCACTTCCAAAGTTAGGAGCAAGGTTGAAGTTGTAGACAGAATAAAACATCAGTCCTAGCTGTCAATCTCATGTGCATAAATAGAGGTACAAGACATTCCTTCCCCTTTTACAAAACAAAATGTATGCAGGGGGTTAATTTGACAGTTACCCAGGTGATTTTCTTTTTACGATATTCCCTCCTATATTGAATCAGTAAGTCTCAGTGGCATCACATACTCTTTCTTCTGTAAACAAATATTACTCAAGTACAAAATGCTCTTATTTTTCCATGAAAGTACAATATCATTTTATTCACTAAGGCAACAAATACTTTTCTTTTCCATAATATGGAATAACCCAATGAAGCAAAATGGGTTAAAATAAAATGCAATTTTACATGAAAAACTAGTCCATGAATTATCGGAATTATAGTAAATTGGTAGATGTAAGGTGTGTAGGGAACTAAGTGTGCATGTATAATTTCACTTCAAAAACACAAAGATAAATTGCAAATACATGTAAATGAAATGACTTGAATACCTGTTCATCTTTATTTTTAAAGAAAGGTTTAGTTTTTAAAATTTTGACTGCATAAAAAACCCTTACAAATGTATCAGAATTCTGAAATGCATTGTACACATATATTGTTTTTTAACTGTTCATTGCATCTGAAGTCATTGTAAATGCTTATGGTACCACAAAATAACAAAATGATACTAAATACATAACATGTTAGACGGTGGAAAAGGTGTATGTAAAATGAAAGACAAAAACACTTTTTAACAATGCTACAAATACTTGGGAATAATATAAGCTAAGATAAACAATTACATTTTGAAAAATTGATAAAATCTGCACAATATTAGTGGAGAGGAAGAAAGATGTTCATTTAATATAAAGGTGAACCACAGCAGTTAAATGATTTATAAGTGGAAATATCACTTATAATCATGCAGTTTTTTTTAATAATAAATATAAATAATGAATTCATATAGTATACATCCTGAATAAAGATGATTTTAACAGTGATATGATTAAAAAACAAGAGGCCAATGGGCCACATCGCTCACCTGAGTAACTTTGGCCATGCTGTTCTTTACCAGATTTCCCCCCTTCTAATACTTATTGTGGCCCTGCCCTACCCCTGGGGGTCATGATTTTAACAATTAAAAATCTACACTATCCCAGGATGCTTCCACTTAAGTTTCAGTTTTTCTGGCCCAGTTGTTCTTGAGAAGAAGATTTTTCTTACATATTTCAATGTATAAATTGGATTCCCTATTGTGGCCCCGCCCTACCCCCAGGGGTCATGATTTTTACAATTTAGTATCTACACTACCCCAGGATGCTTCCACATAAGTTTCAGTTTTTCTGGCCCAGTTGTGTTTGAGAAGAAGATTTTTCAAGATTTTTCTTACATATTTCAATGTAAAACTTGGATTCCCTATTGTGGCCCCGCCCTACCCCCAGGGGTCATGATTTTTATAATTTAGCATCTTCACTATCCCAGGATGCTTCCACATAAGTTTCAGCTTTACTGGCCCAGTTGTTCTTGAGAAGAAGATTTTAAAAGATTTTTCCTATTTATTTCAATGTAAAACTTGGATTCCCTTTTGTGGCCCTGCTCTATCCCCGGGGGTCATGATTTGAATAATTTAGAATCTACACTACCCCAGGATACTTCCACAAAGTTTCAGCTTTTCTTGCCTAATGGTTCTTGAGAAGAAGATTGTTAAAGATTTTTCTTATATATTTCAATGTAAAATTTGGATTCCCTATTGTGGCCCTGCCCTACCCCCGGGGGTCATGATTTTAACAATTTAGAATCTCCACTACCCCAGGATGCTTCCACATAAGTTTCAGCTTTTCTGGCCAAGTAGATCTTGAGAAGAAGATTTTTAAAAATTTTTCCTATTTATTTCAATGTAAAACTTGGATTCCCTATTGCTGCCCCGCCCTTCCCCCGGGGGTCATGATTTTAACAATTAAAAATCTACACTACACCATGATGCTTCCACATAAGTTTCAGCTTTTCTGGCCTAGTGGTTCTTGAGAAGAAGAATTTTTCAAGATTTTTCTTATTAATTTCAATGTACAACTTGGACTCCCTCTTGTGGCCCCGCCCTACCCCCGGGGGTCATGATTTGAACAATTTAAAATCTACACTATCCCAGGATGCTTCCACATAAGTTTCAGCTTTACTGGCCCAGTTGTTCTTGAGAAGAAGATTTTTAAAGATTTTTCCTATATATTTCTATGTAAAACATTGATTCCACATTGTGGCCTCGCCCTACCCCCGGGGGTCATGATTTGAACAATTTAGAATCTACACTACCCCAGGATGCTTCCATATAAGTTTCAGCTTTACTGGCCCTGTGGTTCTTGAGAAGAAGATTTTTTAATGACCCCACCCTATTTTTGTCTTCTCTTGATTATCTCCCCTTGTGAGGGGACTTGGCCCTTCATTTTAACAATTTAAATTCCCCTTCACCCAAGGATGCTATGTACCAAGTTTGGTCAAAATTGGCCCAGTGGTTCTTGAGAAGAAGTCAAAAATGTGAAAAGTTTACAGACGGACGGACAGACAGACAGACAGACGGACGGACGACGGACAAAATGTGATCAGAAAAGCTCACTTGAGCCTTCGGATCAGGTGAGCTACTATCCTAGCAGGACAAAATCCCATGAAGCACACCTTTTATCAGGTGATAACTTCTTATACAGTATATACAATCTGAATAGCTGACTAGTGATTGGTTGGAGAATTAAATGTTAACTGTTCTACCTAATACCAAATGTGCATTTCCTACTAAAAAAGCCAACCTTAAGAACCCAAATTCTTTTACATAATTTTCAAATTTTAGTGTACATATTCAATCTGAAAATATGTTCATGTATTTGAATCAAAATATACTATTCTATTCAAGCAACGAAAAGTCTTTCAATGTATTTAAGATATGCAAATATCAAGCTTTGAAAGTAGTCCATTACATATCTTGTATCACAATGCTTTATTTTAGTCACATATTTAAGTAATGAATAAGGGAAGTACTTGCAAAATGTTGGCACTAAGTGTGAAAACAATAATGATAAATTTAACAACAAAGGTTCCTTTATGGCTAATCCCACATATCCCAGTGTTCTAGTGGCACTATACTTAAACAATAATAATAATGGAATACATAGGTTACCATACAACACAACAATTCAATCTGAAAATTAATATACAAAGATAATTTAACTACTGGGTATTTATCGCAGCATTGAAGTCTACAAATTTTTAAAATTTTGTGAATTAGTCAAACAGTTTGTACATTGTCTATGTTTGTGTAATTAGTGTCACATGTCTTAATTTACCTCTGCAAAAGATTTGAAAGGAAGTCAAAGTTGTGAAAACAGACTTTAAACCAATTACTATTAACATACATAAATTAATGAATGCACTCAAAACTTAGGGCAATCTTCCTCATCAATTGATTAGTATAATCGTATGTGGACAAGAAAGCAGCAGGAAAAGGGCTAAAATATGATTACAACTAACATAAGTATGTTTACATCATCTTTTCACAGATAATGGATGATAAATCTGTTCTTGGTATTACATGTGTATATCCACAGTCAGCCTTCTTTAACCTCACATACATGTATCATACTGCATCAAGTTGACAAAATATTAGTGAGTGATGATCCTCTGCAGATCTTGCAAATTTTTTTTTTAATTTGAATTTTAGTGATTCACACTGCTTGCAGAAACTTCTTAGATATGATACATTTTCAATATACATATATATATGCATATGATCAACTTAGCCTAAGGTGTAGACTAGGGGTATGGAATTTAAAAATTTTGGAAGTGGGCTGAAGAGTTTGCTTGCTAGATGTTCATTAGAATGAAAGATTTTTGAAGATTGCAATATTTCTATTAATATATAAGGCCCTACAACTCAGGCCTTGGGGTGCAGGGATCTTGAAATTCAACATTTCTGTTTCCCTTTTCCCAAAGATACTATATACTGGCAAAGATGTGTTCATGCATTTCAGAGAAGAAGCTAAAAAAAATTTCAACAAATTACTTCTGATGGACATAATTACATTGTAAGACAGATGGGAGTGACTCAGATGACCTAAAAATCTGGCTTCAGAGTATTTTTCATACCATTACAAGGTTTCAGTAATTTTAACATTGTGAAATTATACATCAGTGTAAGCCAGCATAAATTAACTTATATTTTTCTCTGTTTTTTTAATTGCTCAGTCCCCCCTCGTATAGATTTCCTTTTAAGTGAGTCCCTTTTTTCTCTACTCTCCAATCCCAAATCATCAAGACTATTACTTGAGCATGCAATAATTGAAGAAGTTGATGATTGTGAACTCAAACAGGTGTCGCTGTCACCTTTGATTCGACTCAGTTCAGAGTACACATCAGCAAATTTCTGATCAAACTCTAAGATTTTTTTACTGAGATCGCTTATTGTCTGGCTCTGTTCCGATATTACGGTGTGCTGACTCTGTATTTTCTGTCCAAGTTCTGTGACAGTTTTGCTCTGCATATGAATCTTTCTCTCATACTCCAATACTTTCTTGCGTTGTTCAACATAACGAGCCTTGTTCTCAGAAAGCTCTTTTTTCTGCTGTTGTAAGTTGGCCTGAAGTCCTCTTACTTGGTTTGATAATCTTGAAATTTCTTGCTTCATTGAATGTCCTCTTAATGTTCCTCCATCATTCAATGCAACAACTTTCAAAGATGGGCCTAAAATAGTAAGATAGGAATTAATTTTCAGTATTTCATACCAAGCATACAGTTGGAATGGTGCAAGTATATGTCTAAAGATTTGAAATTTAATATACAGATTTAAATACATGCATTACACAGACAGATGCCAACACTTATGATTTTGGCATAAGGCTTATGCTTTGAATGTCTAAAATATGCCTACGATTATTTAATTTATTCTTCTGGTTTCCTTTTTTTCTGCTTCAGAATTTTGAAATACATTGTACCGGAATTTTCATACCTGTCCCCTTTAGTTTTCACTATTATAATAAAAAATTCATAGTCCTTACAGTGCTTGCTTGTATAGAGTTACATTGTCTGTCTCTATGCTAATGATCTAAATCGTTATTAAGTAAAATCTCAAGCAGCCAGAGGCCTAGGTGGCCCTGGAACACTCTCCATACGATTTTTCATTTTATAACATTGACAGATCTGTACAGATTCAAAATCAAAGCACTTTTTTCTATAAAAAATATATTAGAATGCTTTTTCCAAATCACAGCATAACTGTAATTCGTTGCCACATATGTATTTCATACAAAGATTTATGATTCAAACGTAGTACAGGTCTGACGACTATGTGAAAGTTGATTTTTTTTTGGGGGGGAGGGGGTATATTACCTGGACTCTGTTCCCTACTGGCACAGTCAGTGAAGGGATAAGGAAGAGTGACAGCTGGCATTTTGGTCTTTAGTGATGGAGCAATCTTTTCCTCAAAATGCTCCATAGCCATAGAAGAAATATCTCTAAGTTCTTGGAGGAATTCATGGGCCCTTGGAGGTTGTTGAGGGTACTTAAGTGTATTTAGAATCCTGAAAAGTTCATCCAGAACCTACGAATGAAGAGCACAATTACATCAACATAATTTCTCAATCTATGAGCACATGTCACTTACATAAGGTTTCAGAACAACTCACAAGGAAAGACTTTAAATGGCTAAAGTTATAACTTATTAGAGGTTTGATTTTAATTACAGATATAGATTACTTTTTTTCTAGTTATGTCAAAAATGCACTAATCCTCTCTACTGTTTCAACAAGAAAAATTAATTTACCTTCCCAGGAATAAAACAGCAAAGACCCATGTCCATATATCTCATGTATGTCATTCCTAATAAGGACAGCCTAGTCTCAATCGCTGACAGGATATCGACATGCCGAGCCAGAGGATGATTACGCCTCTCAGATTCACGCCTTGGCAGCTGACTTTTGACTCTCTTCTGTATTTGAGAATGAAGTTTGTCCACCTTTGAGAATCCACTATTTAAAAGTTGTTCACAGAGTTTGTTGAAGATCTGACAGGCCTGGAAAAATTATGACAAGAGGTTGAAATTCTACTGTCACTTTACTTCTGTCAAAGAATCAGCTGACTATTATGGTTGAAATGTATTAAGAGAGAGGGAGTCATTTCAAAAAAGACTATTTTTTTTTTTAAAATATCTGATAATACATTTGTATTTCATTTTGGTTGTAACACATCATTTGATTGGATAAAAAACAAGAGGCCAAGGGGCAACATCGCTAATCTGAGCACTCTTGCTAAGAAAAAGCAGAAATCAGTTCAGTTTTGAAAAGTTTAAATATAAAATTTGGGGGTGGGTGGGGGTAGCGGTGTTAATTTGAACTAACTTGAATCTATACTTCATAGGGATGCTTTTGAATTAACATGACAAATAATGGCTTTGCTGTTCTTAAGAAGAAAATTTTGATTGATATATCCTTTGTATTCCTTTGTATTACTATGATCCCCTGTTATGCCCCCCCCCTTTTCTTCTGGGGGGGAGGGTCATGATTTGTACAAATTTGAATTTACATTACCTGAGGATGCTTCCATTTAAATATGACTAATCATGGCTTTGCTGTTCTTGAGAAGAAGATTTTTAAAGATTTTCCCTATGTATGCCTATGTAAAACTTTGATCGCCCAATGTGGCCCCACCCTACCCCAGGGGGTCATGATTGGAACAAGCTTGAATCTACACTACCTGAGGATGCTTCCATATAAATATGACCAATCATGGCCTTGCTGTTCTTAAGAAGAAGATTTTAAAAGAATTTTCCTATGTATTCCTATGCAAAACTTTGATCCCCCATTATTCCCCCACCCTACCCTCAGAGGTCATGATTTGAAGAAACTTGAATCCGCAAAACTTTGATCCCCCATTATTCCCCCACCCTACCCTCAGAGGTCATGATTTGAAGAAACTTGAATCTACACTACCTGAGGATGCTTCCATATAAATATGACCAATCATGGCTTTGCTGTTCTTGAGAAGAAGATTTTTAAATATTTTTCCTATTTTTTTCTATGTAAAACTTTGATCGCCCATTGTGGCATCACCCTACCCCCAGGGGTCATGATTTGAACAAACTTGAATCTACACTACCTGAGGATGCTTCCACATAAATTTCATACTTTCAAGCACAGTGGTTCTTGAGAAAAAGATTTTTAAATCATGCCATTAATTTTTCATGAATTCATAATTATCTCCCCTTGGAAGAAGGCGTGGCCCTTCATTTGAACAAACTTGAATCCCCTTACCCAAGAATACTTTGTGGCAAGTTTGGTTGAAATTAGCCCAGTGTTTCTTGAGAAGAAGATGAAAATGTGAAAAGTTTACGACGATGACAACGGACAAATTTCAATCAGAAAAGCTTACTTTGAAGGCTCAGGTGAGCTAAAAAATAGTTTATATCGTATAACATCCTATGTCACAATGACTTAAGTCAAAAATGTCTCAATCTGCTTGATGTTTCACAATTTAAAATATGTACAATTTGAAGGCATTTTTGAAGGAGAAATTAGAGAGGTTGAGATCTCATACGTGTACGGGTACGTCTAGTAGGGGATTTCCCTAAATTTCTTGCGTATTACATCATCAGTTTTGGTGTTGATCAGTTTTCTACACATTCCTACAACTTGTAATAAGGCATCTACACGTAGGTGTAAACTTGTAGCTTTTTCAATAAAGACTAGTCAATTTATGTGTGAAACTGTTATTGTTGTTAAATATTAAGACAGCGGAACATTAACTGGCAAAATTGGAAATATGCAGCTTACGTCATTTCCAACTGTTACAATCAAAACATTAAATGATAGACAATGGAATGGGCGGGTACAATTCGGCACGGATGTCCGAGAAAACATTGGATTGAGATTCTAGTTTGAAAATCATTTTCAATCCACCTCAGCTACGCTAGAAGGCAATGAGTTACTGATTGACCCATTAGACAAATAATTTCAATTTCCGAATATTCTGAAGTTCAAATATATTAAGATTTTCTGACCCTTGTTTCAAAAAAAATATAAACTTAAGGGACAAATATTGATTTCTGTTAGGTATGTACATGCATGTATTGAGAGGGGGGGGGGGGGGTGCAGGGGGCTGAACGATCTTGGAAATTAAAAAAAGAAGAGTTTTTTTTTTAGTTTGGACAACCCCTAAAACTAAAGAAAATACCCCTTGTCATCCTAGAAATATATAATATATTTTGTCATGTAAAGACATGATCTGACTCAACAAGTTTTTACCCCCCCCCCTTTTCTAGAATCAAAAAAGCCATCCCCTGAAAAAATAATTTCTATCTTCTATGACTTTTACATGTCCTTAAAATCATAGGCTAAAAACTCATATAAACAATAATAAATATGAGTTTCAAATCGTGTATTTGGGAATGAAATTATTTGTCTTTTGGATCTTACATTCACTCTCTGCGTTTGAAAACAGCTCAGGTGGATTGAAAATGCATTTCAAACTAGAATTTCAATCCAACGTTTTCTCGGACGTCCGTGTCGAATTGCACCCGCCCATTTCATTGTCGATCATTAAGTGTTTTGACTGTAACAGATGGAAAAGACGTAAGCTGTATATTTCCAATTTTGCCAGTTAATGTTCCGTGGTCTTAAGGATGTTAAGTTTTATGAACACGTATTTTAACCATGTTTTGTTCACTAACTTAAGTCAAACTGATGTCACAAAACTACTACATAGTTGAAACAGAGACACCGATTACAGTCTACACATTCATATTACACGACATTAAAATCCCAACAGACAAATTACAAAAAACGTGTACGTGTACGTCAATGTTTGTGCACATGTACTCGTACAAGTTTAAAATCTCAACCTCTCTAAATTGTCTTATTTTCTACACTTAAAGATGGAAAATTTAATTATAAGGAATGAATTTAATTAAGCTTCCCAAGTTATACTGGTATAAACTGGGTTGGAACAGTTTATGCTTTTTTATAAACCGCTTCGCAGTGCCACCAAATTTTCATGAATTCTTAATTATCTCCCCTTGAAAGAGGGCATGGTTCTTCTTGTGAACAAACTTAATCCCCTTCATCCTAGGATGCTTTGTGGCAAGTTTGGTTGAAATTGGCCAAGTGGTTCTTGAGAAGAGGTCGAAAATATGAAAAGTTTACAGACAACAGACAGACGGTGGACACTCTTTGAACAGAAAAGCTCACTTGAGCCTTCAGCTCAGGTAAGCTAAAAATAGACAGATAATGCTTAAATCAGATTTTGAATTGCCAAATTTAGCAACCATTGCCAAATTTGGACATTACCTTGTAACTAGAGAAACCCAAGCATACTCATATTAATAATCAAGGCATTTAAATAATACAGTTAATTAAGCATCTGTGGACGCACTGCACTCTCTGTCATTGACTCTTACATTCACCTCTGTCACTGGCTAGATTATATCACTACAATTAGCGCATCATAAGTGCGTTTGTTTTACTTCATTATAATTAGGTTTTTGCTTTTTGTCTCCTAAGTTGATGTAAACTCAGTATATCTAGAGTGATTACTTTAACTTTAAAGATTCCTTGGAGTATCATTTTTTAATCTCTCTTCAAAAATCTCGACATGAGCCTGTTGCAGAAGTGTATGAGAGAAAAACGAACAACAGCTCTGCATAGGAGATGGTATGCGCTGTTCAAGCAAGTTTAGTGTATATACACTTAATCTCGTAAGAAACAAGAGACAAAGCAACGGACAGTTGATTTGACACAGTAATAATCCAACATCTTAAACAACGTATAAGATGAAGGGGGTATGAATGTTTTTATAATTATTTTTGTCTTCTTATCTAAAAAATAAATGATGTCAATAAAAAGATCCAATATTGTCATGGCCGTAGGAACCGGGGGGCACGGGGGGGCCGTGCCCCCCAATAATTTTGCCTATATATAGATTTCTATAGAAAACCAGGGACGTATATACTAACGGGATAGGCAACTGTCGCAAGTCTCGCAATATCTCGTAAGTTGTGGGATTTCGTAAGTCAATTTTAATTAAATATATCTCTTTTGCTATCAAATATTTCAGAATAAAATCTTAATTTATCTATCAAAAAATTATTCAAGATTTATTATTAGCACTGTTTTTACTCCTTATCTGAGAATTACGTTTATTTAAAAATCAGTGCGTGCCCCCTATCGGCCGTATTTCCGAGAAATCGCCGATTTTAGTGGTTGTTTACTTAATATCTAAATTATTTCATAATATGTGCTTTGAAATTTATTAAATATCCGTTCTGATACACAAAAAGAACAGATTATATTAATCAGAAAACAAGCTTTTTACTGGGAAAAAACGTAGTTTGAAAAACTTGCAGTGTTGTGTGTGCCGTTTTGGGTAAATAAACATGGCGCTGAAGGAGTTGCCTATCCCGTTAGTATATAGGTCCCTCAGAAAACATAGCTACTATATGCTTGTGCTCCCTCAATAAAAACGTCTGATGAGGCCATCATTAAAAATATCTTTGTTTCCCCTAACCCGACCCTAAAATTTCAAGTTGAGTAGGTAGGTAGGTAAATTATTTTTTTTTCTGACAGCAGTTTTGAAAATACATTCTGAAAATTGAATAATATCTCTATAAATAAGAAAGAACCAAAAAAAAAACAAAAAAAAAAAAAAAAGAAGATTTTTAAACCGAATATCATACAAATGAAATTTAAAAGCAACATGTATGGTAAATTAATTCACAAATACTATTCATTTGAACTTGTGAAATATCTCAGGCCAGCGTAAATTTATTGAAATTGACTTTTTACAAAAAGACAAGATTCGCAAATACTCAACCATCGGCCATCCGAGTATATTTTTTTTCAAACCTACTATCATCTTCGAGTGCTTACACAGATAAAATGTCAAGGGCCTTGCGTGGCGAAGTAATTCTAGTGTTTCGTTTTGAAGTCACGACGTAATTCAGGAGCTTATTCTAAGTCACAGGTCCCGACATGGGGCGTGGAAACTAGTCAGTCAAAAGAGACTGTAAAAAAACGTAGGGCCATGCAGTGTCACAGTTTACATGTAGATGTTGGCACAATAAAGATCCCTTATTGATGCTTTATGATCAATGGCCATAAGTGCCAAGAAAAAATCTAAATTAGGAGCCCTCCACCAGGCAGGTGTTCAAATGTTGTCGACCCAGCAATTTTTAAAGATATTTTAAAGCAAAGAAACAACCTTTTTTCAAGGGCCCAACTAAAGAAAAGAAAAATACACTGGATGTCTCAGGAAGCCGTATCATAAGCCAACTTTAAAGATTTCAACACTATTTGAAAAGAGAGTACTGTATAAACAAATATTTAATTCAACCAAACCATATCTAAAATGATTAAAGTTTCAAATATCTAATGTTATAGTCACGAAGTTTACCCCATAAATAAAAGGAATGAAGAAACGACATCCGAATTATATTCATGAAGCTGAAATAATTATACAAATCATATGGCCCTATATAGTAAAAATAGAATCATACATGAAGTGTTTTTTTTTTTAGATCGAAACGAATGAAATGGAGTGAAATTTATTGATATGCATACACAAATTGGGTCCCTCTTCTGCTCATGAGGCAGGCTTTGTCATGCTTACTACTTAAGTTAATTTTAGAAGACACATTTGTAAATACCATCTTAACACTCCTTAGTCATGGTATATTTAATCACGAAATGTTTCAAGAGTGTTGGATTCTAATAAGTTAAAGATGTATATTAAGCTTGATACATCGCCGTTGTTTTATAACACTAAGTAACCCTCTGTTGCCACATGTTGTGGGCGCCAAATGAGAGTAAAACAAAAGCCGCCGTTCTGATAAAAAACGAATTTTGATGAAATTGTGCTTTTTAAAGTCGATAAACAATAAAAATAAATATTTGAATAATCTTATTAAAAAAACTTTTCAGTCGGCACGATTTAAGTGGGTCGGTCGCGTTAGAGGAAACAAACCTATTTTTTATTTTGGCCTGACCTTTTCTTTTTTTTTCCTTTTTTCTTTTTTGCTTGTCAAGGAATTTTTGGTAGTCGATAGTGCCCCCTCAACTGAAAATGTATGGCTGTGCCCCCCAAACTGAAATTGCTTCCTACGGGCCTGATTGTTTCATATGAACCCTCATAAATCAACACTTTACAGTTCTCTGATAAATCTGACCCATCAATACGTCGATTGATTTAATATTCAACTGTAAAATCAGCTGTTTCATTTATCAAGGAAGTATATACACACTTACACCGCGTATTTCCGCCAAATCGTTATAAGTTAGAAGTGACAAAATCTTCTCTATGATTTCTTCTGGCAGTTGGGTCAAAAGAAGTACTTGTTTTTCGTCGCTGTCTTCCTCGGGTTCCATTTTCTGATCGTTGCTTTTCTCAATGAAACAGGTGAAGGCCATAATAGGTTGCACTAATATCCGTAAAACGATTTAAGAGAAAAATCCAGAGACATTTTATGTCTCTGGAAAATCCAAGAATAAAAAGGGACCTATAATTGGAATTTAAATAGGCCTTTTTGTAAAACAAAATAATTCATTATCATATATTTAATTTATCATGTTAAAAATATAAAGGGCATGTATATTGTTACTGTCGATTCAATGTACATTCAGGGACCTATATACTATAACTTTTGTTAGTATATAGGTCCCTGGTACATTTAATATATTTTAGAAATACAAATTAATATTTTTTTAAACGAAATTTTCATTTTGGTTCATTTTATTCTCTTTTTTTATTTATTTATTTCATTTATTTATTTATCTTTTTTTTTTTTTGATTTGTTTTCTATGAACTTAGATCAATCGGGATCGGAATTCAGTATATCAGTGAATTATGGATGTTTCGGGACCGCGATGTTTCGGGACCCCGACGTTTCGGGACCTGACAACACGTTTCGGGACTTGGGTTAACACGTTTCGGGACTTGGGCTAACACGTTTCGGGACTTCTAAATATTTTGTAAAGGAAATGAAATAAAACTTGTTTACTTGTGTTTTTATGTTTATACATGTATAATTTCTCAGTTTGATACACAATTTATAATTTAAGAAGCACTGATTGGAGTTTTTATTAGTTTTAAAGTTTGCCTGCGGCATGGAGGACGCCTGCCGAGAAAATCAAACGCCCGCGGTGTTGTCCCTTTAATTTCTTATTACAGTATTTGATATATTACCTTTATAAAGTATTTGGTTAACATTTGACCAAAATTTAATTCAATTTTTTTTAAAATATGTATTTGATTTATTTATAGTGTTTGATACGAGAGTTTGTAGAATTAAAGCCGGGAGACAATCGTAACTGCTGTGTGAAGACCACGGACGTGTTTTTCTTTCTAAGACTTTCTTTCTCTCCTTTTTAATAATAATTTTAGGTATTTGATTTCATATTTGTTTACAAAATTTACAAAGGCTCAAGCTAGCACATGTGCAGTAAAAACTTTACGTTTTACGGGTAGTTGTTTTGAATCAGAATCTGAAATATTCCATGTTCAACTTTTTAAACATCAATGTATAAAATTTATAATTATTATTTCAGGTTATATATGCAACAAAATCATAAAAGCAAATTTATACAAAATGTTACGGGTAAGAGAAATGTTATAACTTAAGCTATAAACTTCCTACACATCCATGTATACGTTAAGCAGAGAAGGAAAAAAAAAACGAAATTGTATTTGACATTTCAAATATATATAACGTCAAAGAACAGCTTGTAAAGTAAATTTTACTGAAAGTATGATGTGTATATATATACCATGTATGCAACATTTGGAAATAAACCAAACTTACTAATTTTCAAAATATAAACACGTTTAACTTATTTTTCATCTTAACGTTTCAAAGTTAGACAATTTCTTCGTCTATATGCAAAGTACATGTACTCGATGGCTTAAGAAAAATGATGAAAGTAATCGATTTTATTCATTTATTTTAATTAGAAAAAAATTATTCCCACGAAAGTCCCAAATATTCCCGCTATATATTGTTGTACTATCAAAATTGTTAATTTGTCTACAATGATATGGATGTCTGAATTTATGTTTACTGTGTATACACAGACTACAAATCTCAATGAAACTCAATTATCGATCTTCTTATATACCCGACCAGTGCGTAATATTATATGTGGTGTTACATAGTTAGGTACATGACAAACTTTAAATAATACTGTAAATAAATACTAAATAGTATTTAATTTGCAAATATTAAATTTTTCATGCTACGTGAACGTTGTAAAAGTGTTTAAAAGACATTCTACATTGACTACGTTAACAGGTCAACTTAAATTTCAAATTTCCACCTTGCCACATTAAATAGATAAAGCTATGATGAAATTTAAAATGTTTTTAAAAACATTATTTGAAACGATATCAAATGAAATATGTTGTTTATACCATTTAATGCTTTTTTTTTAAAGTATGGTATTTTTTTTTTAATTTAGGGCCAATGTTCTCGCAACATTTGTAAAATATGTTTATTTACAATGTTTTGGAAACTTTAAAAATGTTTTCGTAACATTTCCAGGGAAGAATCTTACAGATACTATGCCAAAACCTTTTGGAAAAAAAAAAATATTTGAAACCGTTTGGGAAAAGGTAGACAACATCAAGATCAAAACATTTTGAAAACCTTTATATTTTGTTGAACTATTGTTTGATTCTGAATTATTTCATTTACCAATAAACAAACGATATTTTTTCCATATTTTTAGATTTTTATTTTCTTAAAATAATTTCAAAAGAAACCACACAATCTTTTTACTTCCCATTACCGGCGGCGTCTTTATACATGTACGTAACACCTCCCTATGTACAGAGTATCCATGGTATCAGTTGGGATATGTGTACCTGATCCCAGTTGTTGTTTTAACATATATTCGACGGTAGCTGGAGATCACTTGAATATTTTAAAATATCTATCATCAACCTGAGAAGATTAAATTTTGGAACCCACCCCCCCCCCCCCCATCACCACACACACACAAAAAAATAACTAATAAAAAAAATGATAAAAAAATAAAAAGAAATAAAAATGAATATTGTAAAGATTTATTCTTCTTCGTCTGTTATGAAAAAAACCCCATCAAAGTATATCTTTATGACAATTTTTATTATATATATACATAAAAATTAAAATTCGGATTTAGCTTGAAATATTACGTACTATGTGTAATTAGATTAATATGCTATATCACCATAATAAAATAATTTGTTTAGATCCCGAAAAAAATTAACTCAAGTCCCGAATCGTCTTGTTGCTAGTCCCGAAACGTCGTATTAATCAGGTCCCGAAACGTCGTGGTCCCGAAACATCGTGCACCCATATCAGTAACCATTGCGTCTTGTCTTGGAAGGGAAGCGCGAGTGCTCGAATCAGGAAAAAATGTTGAAATTGATATTTGTTTTGTTCACATTGCTGTTTTTCCAAATAGAATGTAAGCCAATAAAAGTGACGGAAGAAAACTGGTCAGATGTTCTTGAAGGTGAATGGATGTTAGAATTGTAAGTAGATACGACAATTTACAACTTAACACGTCATCTATCAAATATTTTTAAGGACACCACAGAAACAACCAGTGATAAAAAAGTTGTTTGAGATGATTTCAAAGGTAACTTTATCATAAACAGGGGTATTTCTATTTTAATTTTAAAAAATACTCAATTTACATGAAATGAACTTAATAACTACTAATCCGAGATTCCTCTGACTCTAACCCCTGCTTTTATATTTTGACATCTGCAGGGGAGAGTCAGAGCGGAGGCCATATTGAAAAGTGGGAATTCAGCGACACCAGCTGGTGTCGCGACTCTGCCTACCTTTTACAACTTTATTTCGCGGATCTAACTTCCGAGACGCGGGAATTCAGTAAAGGGATGATTCTTCTACAACTTAATCATCACTAATACGATGCTATCGCCATTTAAACGGCCCTAACACCGACAAATGAAGCATCACTTGAATAAGGTCACCTCCTCGCCATTCAATTTCTTTGCGCATGACGTCAGCACACAAATACACAAAATTCCAATCGATTTCAAATTAACACGTGGTCAAAACACGTGTGGAGTTTTCGCAAAAAACATGAGGGTGCGGTGAAAAAGCACAGAAAACAACAGAATGATGTTACATTTATTTACTGATAAGGAAAACAACTGTCGAAAGTGGCCTCTATGCTCATATGAGAAAAAAATTATCAGCATCACCACACATGATTTGTCCATGTGATAGTTTGTTTGTGTATTTGTGTGCTGACGTCATGCGCAAAGAAATTGAATGGCGAGGAGGCGACCTAATTCAAGTGATGCTTAATTTGTCGGTGTTAGGGCCGTTTAAATGGCGATAGCATCGTATTAGTGATGATAAAGTTGTAAAAGAATCATTCCTTTACTGAGTTCTCGCGTCTCGGAAGTTAGATCCGTGAAATAAAGTTGTAAAAGGTAGGCAGAGTCGCGACACCAGCTGGTGTCGCTGAATTCCCACTTTTCAATATGGCCTCTGCTCTGACTCTCCCCTGCAGATGTCAAAATATAAAAGCAGGGGTTAGAGTCAGAGGAATCAAATAACTACATGAAAATTCTTAAAATTCAATACCAACAACATTCTTCATAACATCACATCAGATGTCTGTGTTTGTAAACATGGGCACGAGCTCTGTTATTGTTAATGTTTATGTTTTACCTGTTGTGCTCAAGTTGAAAACTCTGCTCAGACACTTCACTGCATGAACACGAGCTGATAAAAGAAGTTTCTAATCACACTTTTATGATACATATGTATATTGGTCTGAAATACTCTAGTATTAAACATGTAAGTCATGATTTGATACCTAAAATTTTTTAAAAAATTAACTTCAGATCTGTGTCCAAGTCCCTTTATTGCCTTTGATAATCACCTTGGCTAATCAATGTTGCAATAAAAAAAACTCTTTAATATGTAGACAGTGGAACCGTTAGGGCGAGCACAGATATACATTACTGGATATCTATTCAGTGTTAACTAAGATCCGCCTCTTCAATCGGCACAAGACATTTGGAACATCAAGACTGTGACATCCCATGACGTTGCATGCTAGTTGTACTATCAAAAGGTCTGAAAAGGGCCAATTTTAACAAAGAATGTTTAATTTACTATTTATCTGCAATATCCACTAAATCAAGGTGAGTTCATTATTTTGGTGAACTTCTGTTGTTACTGCAAGAACAAAGTTAGCAATGAGATTGGTGTTGCATTGTGGGTCCAAGGGTAACTGTGAAAAATAATTCATTTGGATCAATGTGCTAAGTCTGAATTTTCTCTTCGCTCAGGCATTGCTTTAAAAGCTTGCAGTGTCGAGTAGCACTTTGCACAACTCACTGCACTCCTTATAACTGTATAGTACAGTTGTTTTACCAGCTTTGAATAATTATTTAAAATCTAAGTTGTTTGTCAAAGACCTGCAGATTTAAATGAAGCATCAACAAATTTTAATCTTCCAGAGAAACTTTTATTTAATAAGTTTACATGAGTAGTCATTTTCCCAGTTGCAAATAATTTGATGAGTTTCGAATACATTAGCTGTTCCTATGCAGAATGAGACTAGATTAAAAAAATTTGTCTCATACATCAACTATTGACATGCCTTTGAAAAGTTAAAAGAAATGTTACCAAGTAAGCTAATGGTTTTTCTGATGGATAAAGAGAATTAGCGATTAAGACTACAACGAACAAAACAAATATATGCATGTAATAGTGTTTATTATATACCCAAGTGTGTATCACTCAATTTTACTGTAGATTTCGTACAATCACTTGACGGTGTGATCCGACTTTCTGGATCACCACACTGTGGTTTTCTGAATCCATATCACCCCTCTCTGAAATTGATGACGTAGTACACAGAAATGTGATGTTATTTTTCATCAAAAAATTCCTTGACAAAATGCTTTGTTTAATAGGAAAATCTGATATAATTGATCTCAAAAGTTTTTTTAAAACTATATTTTGCTAGTTGTAAGGGAGGTGTATAATAAATTTATCATTATAACAGTAACTTGATCCGAAGAGCCGTATCACGTCTCGTTGACAGGCGCGGATCATCAGATCAAACTCAACGCTTAGCGTCTCGTTTGATCTGACCATCCGTGCCTGTCAACTCGACGTGATACGACTCTTCGGATCAAGTTACTGTTATAATAATGTATATTTATTATGGGTATTTGGAACTGGTAAAATGACAGCATGAAAATATTCTGATATCTTCCAGTGAATTACTTATTGGTTTTTGTTAGAATACATACATGTATCCTGCTTACTTTTGGTAGCTGAAATGTTCAAACGTGAAAAATTAAGGTGTTGACAGACAATTTTCTACAGAAAAATGTGTTACAGTGATCTGGATTATTGCATTTTAGATAGTGGTGTTCCAATCATCAATTATAATCGAAAATCAGTTGATTGCTGGCATAATCCAAGCGCTCGATTACAAAATTTTTATTCTGATTAATCGGGTTATTTATTTTATTTAAGAAGTGTAATAGTTTTTAAGCCGAATATTCCAGCCGTGACTTGTCTATTAACTTATTTGTGTTTCGTAATGGAGCAGACGAACAAACATTGTATTTATACCCGGGTAACACAGCTCATTTCCGGGTATGGACGTACTTTGGATCCTACAAAATGAAACAGCTGGACTAGATAGAACATTCTATCGTTAAAATGATATTGTCGTAAGGACTAGGGCTTGTCCCGAGACACAGTTAGATTAGTTTAACTACAGCTGGACCACCACAGAAAGTAGTTATTCACCTATTATTACCATTTAAAAAACTAAATTGACAGACTTTTTAAATGTCCGATTATAATTGATAATTAGTTAGTTACAGTAGTCCGATCATCAATTGTGAAATTCTTACCGATTCCCATCACTAATTTTAGAGTAGATCAACTTTCTCAAGTACAATATCGAATACAAGTTGACTGCAAAAAATCAAACATTACAGAATTTAAATAAGCATAAATAAGCTTTCATTTATTTTTACACTTTAAAATTTATTAATTATCAGCTCTGACTGCATGTCTTAAATTGATTAATTGGAACTGGTCAAAATAAGTTTATGTTCTTTTTGTGCACTCTGACTTTACTATTTGAACAATTTTAAAATTCTTTAAAAAGGAATTGAAAAAAAATATTAAATAAATTTTTTTCAGTTGGTAATGATCGAGTCCCTATACCAGACTCAAATTCTCTGCTGGATTGACAGCCCTTTGGACCTAGAACAGCCATCAGTATTTTTTATGTTTTGTAGATCTTTCTATGTATTTCTTTCTTTACTTTTTAGTATGGCTCCATGGTGTCCTGCATGTAGAGGATTTGTAGAAACATGGGACAAATTTTCTGACTGGAGTAAAGATTTGGAAATAAATGTAGGAGTTGTTGATGTGACAGAAAATCCAGGTAAGTTTAGATGTATTGATGTAGTTTACAGTACATGTATTACAAAACATAAAAAACAATAGGACCAGATTAGCTCTTTTTGAGAACAAAAAGGGGATTCCATGTTATTACCAAGTAAGTAAGAAATCTAAGGACTATTTGCTAGCTTTTACTGTTACAATAACTTAAAAAAAAACTAAATCATTCATTTTAGATTTCATTTGTGATTTTTTTAAAGGGGGTGGTGGTAATATGGGTGTCTCATGGGCTCTGTGTTTTATGAGCTTCTTAGACACAGTGTTGTGAATACATGTACTGATATCTGTTCAATATTGCAAATCCAGGAATGAAATTTGAAGTTTGTTTAACTCCTTGTCATTAGTTTATTTTTAGTCCATGACATTGGAAGACATGTAAGATCTGTTAAATTTATTTGAGGAAATTATATTTTCAATGGAGGAAAAATAACAATCATTTACAGGTTTACTTGGAAGATTTTTGACTGCTGCTTTGCCTTCAATTTATCAGTAAGTCTGGGTAACACTTGCACTAGATCTACTTATATTATTTTATATCTTTTATTTCACTGCTTTGATTAAAATGGCATGTTTATTGATGGAGAAGTTGGTTTTTAGAGAGATGGAAATAGTTGATTAGCATATGTTTTAGGTTTTAGTAGCTGAGTACACTTTACATACCATGCTGTTCTTTTGATAAACATGTCAGTAAAGCATTTCCAACCCTTGTTTATTGAAAGCCTTTTTAAACACAATGTAACTGTAGAAGGTAGGGTTTGACACTAACAGAGGCCTGCTAGCCCGGGACAACTGAAAATTGAGGTCGGGGTACCAAACAAGTCATCAAACTTGTCCTACGGGGCTACTGAAATTTTAAATACCAAATACTTACTTAGGAGCAATTGAAAAGGTTAATTAAAATGTGAAAGTTTCGATTTTGTTAGTGAGGTTTAAGGAATAATGTTGAATCATCATTATCACTTAGGTCAAACTGTTGACTATTATTGCCTGACATTGTTTTGGTCCACCATATCAATTTTTATCATGCAAGTGTTTGAAACTCCCGAAAATACTTGTAAGCAATGCTATGAGGTAGACAATGAACTAACTTTGAAAAAGGGTGGTTTAAGAAGTAAATGTAGAATCTGTCAACAAGAAAAAAAAGTCTTCATTTACATTTAAAAAGTGACATAATTTTGCCCTGAGATATAGCCAGAATGCAGAATTTGGCATATTTTTTTTTAAATTTTCCTGTGGAGGCTCCTCATAACCTCTCCTGCAGGAGGGGAATCCCCATCCCACACCTACCCCTCCAGTCGTTTCGCAACTCAGCCTACAGCCTTTGGCTGCTGGACAACTAATTCATGAACAGGGCTAGTAAGACTTATAAATTGCTAGGTCTGTGGGCTAATATGCTTTAAAAGTTAGTGTCGACCCCTGGGAGATGTTGTATATGTATGTCTTCTTAAAATAAAATAAATCACTAAATTTTAATTGGATTATTAAAAAAAATGTAAATGTTCGAGGCCTATGAAGTACATGGTTAAGTTTAGAAAGGCTTTCAGTTTACCAGTACATTGCATTGCTATATTCACACTTTGACCTTTGCCCTCTATATTTTAGGTCTCAGTGGGAGATTCCTGATCTCTGCCCTTCCATCTTTATACCAGTAAGTGTCAATACGTAGAGAAAATACTGAGATAACTGATCTCTGCCCTTCCATCTTTATACCAGTAAGTGTCAATACATAACTGATCTCAGCCCTTCCATCTTTATACCAGTAAGTTTCAATACATAGAGAAAATACTGTATAAAAGTACTGTAGAGATTGAAATTATTAATTCACTGAACGGTTACTATTTGAATTTACTCTCAGGGCTCACCCTCTGACTATATGTAATCATTATGGTAAATAAAGGTAAAATGAACTCATCTTAATGTTAAAAAGAATTATTTCTGCTAAACCTTCACTGCTATAAAATGTGAAAACCTTAACTTTACCAAAATGAGGGCAAAGGTCAATTTTATATGCACCATATACTTTCTTCTACAAGTAGGCATTTTTAAAGTGTGGTTGTAACTGGTCTATTAGGAAAAAAGGTAAATAGATTATGCTTAACTGACAGCTGATTCAGATGTGAATTATTTACTACATTAATATGATTACTGAACCTGTCACTGTTTACTGTGTTGGTAATCATGTTTCAACAGAAAATTATTTATTAATGATATTCATTACTCATTGCTGTAAGACTAGAAGTCAGGGAAAAAAATGCTTACTATCTACAACACTTTTATATAAGTGATTGAATAAAAATGCATCCTTAATATTAATACATGTATCTAAAATTTAGTGATAAAAGTATGTTGAAAATTTTTAGTCATTGCTGAAATCAGTAATATTTCAAATTCAAAGAAAATTTTTACAAGTCTTTTTTTTCTACTAAAATAAATCAAGAAAAAAAAAATCAGTACATGTAATGAATTAAAAAAAAAAAAATTAACTGTTCTGCATGCCAAGTTCACATTAAAAAACCCAACTCTGATTCTTTAGCATTAAGAATGGAGAGTTTCGCCAGTACAAGGGAGGAAGGAAGGAGTCAGAACTGATCAGCTTTGTAGATGACCAGAAATGGCAGGAAGTGGACCCTATTCCATGGTATTTCTCTCCAGCCTCCATCCAGTAAGATCAATGTCAGATAATCTTATACAGTCACTCACAATAAAATGAAAATTTTATGGGCATTTTTTAATGAAATTAAAATTTCAAATGTTTTATAATTTATATATATTACTCAGAAGAGGAGAGAAAGTGACAAAAGACAAACATTTTATCATCTAAAATTAAATATCAACTTAACAATGTTATTATTTTTCCAAATAAATTTATATGAATATAAAGTGGTGTTCTGAATTTAATGATACCTTTCTTACTTTCAGAATGGCAGCATTGGGACAGTTCTTTAAAGCTGCTATGGCAGTCAGGGTAAAAATCTATTAAAAAAGTTATTCACACTTGCCTAAAAGATAGTTTTCGATAGGCCTGAATTTAGCAAGAGTTATTTCCCTTTGGCCGCTGTGTTGGAGGTCCAACTACCGAATTTTCTTCTTTGAGCAACCAATTTTATACTCGTATGGCAGAAATATAAGGGCAAAAATTTTTAAAATACCAAAATTATGAATTAAAGGAAGCTTGTGTTAATATAAATTCGTAAGAAAAATTGTGTTATCTTCACCCAATTCCCCAATATGACAAGTTTAAATTGGTTGAATAATGAAGGAAATCAGGCTTGTATACCTCCAATATGGCGACCAAGGGGAAATAACTCTTGCTTAAATCGTGTCTATCGAAAACTATCTATAAAGAAGTTATGCATAAATAATGTATAATCTATAAAAGCAATATACATATACATGTTTTAACACACATACAAAATCCTCTGACAGCTATGGTTGAGATGCATTTAAATTTAAAGGGTAACAAATTTATCCCATTTTTGTTTGAGTTTTGTTAATTTTTAATTGATTGTTCTACTATCTCTTAACAGGACATTTACAATTCTATGACCAAGGATTATGGGATACCAGAGTGGGCCTGCTATGTCATCTTTGCCATAGCAACTATCCTTGCAGGGTTGATTCTTGGATTGGTCAGTATTATCGTCTTCTTTTTTATTTTTATGTTTCTTTTGATACAAACAGGACACAGGAAGGCTATTTCTTTTTCCATCTGTCTGTTGTTTGTCATTCCAGCCATGTGACACATCTTTTCTTACTTCAGTGGATAAAAACTATCAACAGATGAAAAGCTTGCACATTTTTCAAGTATTTAACTAGGGCTGGGTATCGGCTAGGAATTTCGTATTGTGATATACTGCGATATTTTTAACTGTATTGCGATATGTATTGCAATATTTTCAATAACAGTTAAAATGACCTTTTCTTATTTTATTAACCTCCATTTATAAGCAGAGTGTATATTACTATTATAAATAAAACAAGGAAAAAAAAGTTCTTGTTGATGTCACTACAGTTTTGAATTGAAATGCAACCATACAACAGCAACCTTAGTGTTTGGCATGATTGAAAACGTTTCTGTCATCTTAAATTTCATATTTTACTTTAGAAATCCCAAGCCCAAGAATTTTTCCGGTATATTGGTTCTGAGAAAACATATCACAATACAATATTTTTTGTCAACAACTCGCAACATACCAGAATATTGATATTATTGTGCACCCCTATATTTAACATATCTTGTATATAAATTTCCTGCTAGAAAGATTATAAAAACTTTATTGGTTTTTACTTTCAGATGATTGTACTGTGTTGTGATATGATGCTGCCATCCAAATATGTCCCTTCACCAACAGAAAAACCTCAACCTAGGCCACAGGGGGTCACCTTACAAAAGGTACCGCTTTAATCAGCAAGTTATCTCTAATCTGAGAGAGGAGGAATAAGTATATACACATATATTGATCTCTAATCTGAGAGAGGAGGAATAAGTATATACACATATATTGATGAAGCAAATCTGATTGTGATGCCATTTCCTCAAAGACAAATTTAAAATCATGTAGCTTCTTTTTATTTTTGCTGTTTACTGGCATAGGGGTAATTTATCTTACCAATTCCATAAGGAGCACCATATTTATCTACCAATGGTTATCAGATTTCATACTTGTTTGTAACAAGAATAGGAATATGGAAACTAAAATTTGTAGCAAGATGATAAGATAAATCTATCATATCAAGGGTAAGAAAATTTTACTTCCCAATGCCATACAGTGAAATTGCAAAATTTCAAGGGGGGGGGGGGGGGGGGGAGTAGTAATATTCCTTGTTTTGGTGGTATGAAGAGATCCATGAATTTCTGTCCGCCACAAAATGTAACATTTCAAAAATATAACAACTTAACACTTCATCAGGAAATCACATCCCTAGGACCTTATAATTTTTCTTCAAACCACGAAAATTTGACCCCACAAAATAAGTAGTTTTACAATATCAGTTTGTGGTACATGTATTTATATCCAAAAAATAGGTTTAGTCTATAGAAACATTATTTTCTTCAGTTACTAATGTATATGGAAGTACTTGATGTATAACATACCCATTAGAACAGTTTAAATTCAGACACCAAATTCTTGTGTATTAATATGAATCATGATTATAGCTTTACTCAGAGGATCGTGTGTTTCATACAGTTTTGGAAATTCCCAGAAATAATTTATATAGATAAATTCACTATCACTTTCATTCAGTTTTTAATTTTGGATAAAATTTCTTCTATATTAAACCTTATTCCTGTTGTCCTATTGTTGTTTTATAGGAGGATGAAGATGCTGATGGAGAGGAATCAGAAACAGACATTATTGATAACTCAAAACCAGCTGATAAAGATGGCGATACCAAACCAAGGAAAAGGAGGGTTAAAAAGGCAGACTAATTTTATAGACATGTATGTGAAAGTCCTGTGGGGGATAAAATATTTTCAAAATGGTGTAAATGCAATGCAAATTAAAAAGAGTGTTAAATTTTCCAAATACATTCATCCCTGTTGAAGAATGTGTGGCTAAATTTTGTATGAATTTTATTATGGTTGGTTTTTGAGTGTATTTAAGTTTTAATCAGAGAAATGATTTTATATGCTTGGTCCCAATTTTTGTTTGTTTTATACATGCTGAGTGAATATGATGTATTCTTATGCTGGATTTAACATTTGTACATGTATGTAGAAAATATAACTGAATGTCTACAAGACTCCAAGTCAGAACGTGCCAATAATGAACCTAAAATTTTATTATTTAGAGAATGTGGTGTTTAAACAAGCACTGCTTTTTAAGCATGATATGTAGCATTGTAAACAAAAACATCTTTTAAGTTATTATTTCTAGTGACCTAGTTTGACAAGTACTGCATTTTTTATGATCTGAACATAAGGTGTGTGGAGTTTAATATGTGTATAGTAATAAACTTATTGTTCTTATACATTTATATTCCTCAGTTTTACTATGAAGAGTACTTATGTAGATAAGTGTTTAAATCTGATGGTTAAACCTGTAAATCAATAACAATAATGTGTTGATTCTTTTACTCTATGAGGTGAGTAAATGAATTGTTAAGTTTTATAACTTTACAGCCATTACCGTAGAGTAGTCAATATGTATGTGAGTTTTTTTTTGTATGAATGCTAAATGAATATGACTGTGATTTTGGTAGAGGTATAAATGTTGTAATTTGATACACTAGTGTAAGATATTTACCCACCTGTCTATTCTTTATGTATATGTTATTATTTTTTTTTTTTTTTAGTTTTTGTAATTTAAAAAAAATATGAGCAAAAGAAACTTTATAGTCCATTAAGATATTCAAAAGAAACTTTATAGTCCATTAAGATATTCAATGTTTTAGATTCAGAAATTTGTATCTATTTTTTTGTTTCTTCTCCCAACTAATCTGATCCTGGGATCATGAAACTTTTAAGTTTAAATGAGTAAATGCCAACAATTGGTAAAAATTTTACAGATACTTAAGCCTAAGTCTGTTTCATGATCATGGGACCAGGTGTTTCAAACTTTTGAATATTTTTAACAGTTCTCTTAAAATTTTAAGCTTTTAAATCCTGTTCTAAGATCAGGTTATTTTTACCCCACTTTATATTACAGAGAAACCAAATAGCTTAAACGAAGCAAAAACATGTGCTATTTGTTCTACCAGTTTAAACCTTTTACTGGAAGTAAACATTAAGTATTTTAAAAGCTGTTTTAATTTTTCAGGGAGTATTAAGGAAATACATAGCCATCAGATTGCTTTTATTGTGTTCTATGCAAGTTTTAATAAAAGAAATTATATGTTTACATGATTTTGAAGTTAAATACTTTGAAAAACTACTGAGTCAGAAATATAAAGATATTAGATTTGAACAGCCTTTAATTTTCATGATTCAAGATTAAAAAGGAGGTTTCTTCAATAACTGAGAATGATATTTATTGCCATCAAACCATTTTCTTCAATAGGAAGAGTGACGACCTAATATATTAAAGATCTGATAAAACTGAAGAAAATAAATTGAGATGAATTTTTTTCCCTATGTTTCTTGGCTTGAAACAGAAACCATTATAAAAAAAATCAAAAACCATTTATTTTTTTTATATTTGTTAAGAAATAATTTAAAGAACTTTATACGGAAAAGGCCTATCCCTTTCCCCATTAAAATCAAAATTTTGAAAATCTCTTGAAATGTGCACAATTGTATATATATTTTTTATGAAATAAATCTGAATTTACAAATGCATTGATTGAGAAAAAGACAATATTTTTGTCTCTGTGACCTTACCTTAATAGAATGCAAACTTGATCAGGATTTATTTTCACATATTTCATTGATATAATCATCCTACACATTATTTCAAAAGATGAATTAAGTCTGAGCAGACCTGTGCTTGTTATTTCCAGTCAAATTATCATCATAAAATGCAATATTTTCATTTGAAATCATTGAGCTGTTGAATACACATCATTTTCTGACATCTATCTAACTTATGATGTCACAGCAAATGAAATAGTTTTATGCTTTGAAGTCTGCATATATCATACTGGCTTAGAACATACATCAAAGTTTGAGTTTGAGGGCAGATATTGGCTTTTACCAAATATAGTCCTTTATTCTATGTCTAAGATATCATTATTAAAATAATATTAATATTGTCACTACAATTTTGCTGTTTCACTTGAAAATGATTTCATGATCACAGAAGTAACTAGATCTACAGTGTACCGGGTCATTAGTTTGTTTTTTTCTCGCCTACCATATTCGGTTTCAATATTTGGTTTTCATGCACAACTTCAGTGATCAGACGACATTTTCAATATTTTATTTGCACTGAAAATGCAAACATTATAAAGCAAAGAAATAGGTAATTTTTGCACGTTAGCCAAAGAATAGAAGGATATTTCTTTTATTTTTTTAATCTTTTTTATGAAACGTCAGTATGCAACATACTAAATATTCTGGATACTTCTTTCACTTTGTTGCTATTTTACGGAAGCCCATTTAAAGGTGCTTGGACACAGATTTGAAGTTAATATTTTCTCAGATTTTCTGTATAATTTCATGACTTATATGTTGCTATAGCATTTCATACTAAAATATAATAAAAATCTTATTTTATCTCGAAGTTATTGAAACTTCAAATTTCTGGACGCGTTTGATTGACACATCCTTGCACTTTCACAATTCTTAATTTTATTCTTAATACTTAAGAAAAGTGGCAGTTTTGTTGTGTATAAATGAAAAGTATTAAAACTATAATCCAGAAAATTCAGAGGAGAAATGTTCGAAAGCAAAACCCACTCACAGTATTGTCAGTCCGTGCTCAGTGGTGTGTGCAGACTTTAACAATTGAACACACCCGGTGAATCGTAAACATTAACAATAACAGAGCTCGTGTCCTGTTTACAGAAACAGTTTACGTTTCACGGGTGTATTCAATTTGTTAAACTCTGTACACAACACTGAGCACGGGCTGACGATATTAGTCAGGGGGTTTGCTTTCGCACATTTCTACTCTGAATTTTCTGGATTATAGATGTAATGTTTTTCATTAATACAAAACAAAATCGCTTCTTTTCTTAAATATTAAGGATAAAGATAAAATTTGTGAAAGTGCAAGGATGTGTTAATCAAACGCGTCCAGGAATTCGTAGTTCCAATAATTTACAGATAAAATAAGTTTTTAATTATATTTTCGTGTGAAATGCTATTGCAATATATAAGTCGTGATATTATACAGAAATTTTGAGAAAATATTAACTTCAAATCTGTGTCTAAGCACCTTTAAGACCTATCAAAAAATATTTTTGAATTCGATATAACAAATCGTTCGAAATTGTTAGAATGAATGTAATTCATTATAACAGTTTCTTTGAATTCGTTATAACGAATTTAATCCCTTATAACAAATTTATTGAATTCGTTATGTTTTCTAGGGATGTCAAAATATTTATTTTCTGTAGTCGAACATTCGATTGCATTATTCGAACGATAGTTGAATATATTCGAAACTTTTTCGGAAAGTAAAATTGTATTTCAGGCTTCAATGTTACATGACATATTTAACCCGAAATCCCCTTTTCTTAAAATTATTAAAAAGTAACATCAAATGTTACACACAGATGTTAACATGGACCTCAAATGTATGATTTCCCTGTCAATCATTTTCATAAATCGATCTGTAAAGTCGGTTTTTAGGAAGCATAAAAAATGACAGTACGATATATATTTTAAAGCTTATTAAAATGATGGGGGGGGGGGGGGGCACACTGTAAATATGTGATAATGTTGTATTGTTAAATATTTGAATATACTTTTTGTACCAACTATCAAAATGTCTTTAAAATATATAAAAGAATATTAATTTTATAATAATTACCTTAGTGACCAAACATGTCACGGCTATAATGGGTTCATGATATGAGATCAAGTCCAATTAATAATTTTACAAAGAAAGCGCAGTATAACGAAATAATTTTATTACAAAAACAACACATTAATTGACAAATAGTACTCGCGGAAGTAAAGCATTTATAATTACTGTACTTTCTACATATATAAATCCAGCAGTTTTTAATGAGGAGAATTATCTTATTGACTGTGTCTGAGGAAACCGGTTTCTCAATTTTAGGATGAGAATTCCATCTCTTTATCACTCTTTTATTGAATTTATTTATTCGAATGTCGTTTCGTTATTCGATCGTCGGTCCATTCGACTGATGGTCGAATAGTCGACTATTCGTTGACATCCCTAGTTATAACGAATATAAAAAGTTGTTATAACGAATTCTGAAACTTATTATAACGAATTAAATTCGTTAAAACGAATTCTCTAATTTGTTATAACGATTTAAATACGTTAAAATGGATTCGACAAATCGTTATATTGAATTCATACATATTTTTCTATAGTCCCTTATTGTTGAATTTGATTTAACGAATTTAATTCGTTATAACAAATTTTTAGCTCACCTGAGCCGAAGGCTCGAGTGAGCTTTTCTGATCGAAATTTGTCTGTCGTCGTTGGCGTTGTCGTAAACTTTTCAAATTTTCATCTTCTTCTCCAGAACTACTGGGCCAATTTCAATCAAACTTGGCACAAAGTATCCTTGGGTGAAGGGGATTCAAGTTTGTTCAAATGAAAGGCCACGCCCCCCTCCAAGGGGAGATAATTACGAAATAGCAAAACATTAAAGGCATTATTGAAAAATCTTCTCCTCAAGAACCAATGGGCCAGGAAAGATGAAACTCAGGTGGAATTATTGTCAGGTAGTGTAGACTTAAATTTGTTCAAATCATGACCCCTGGGGGCAGGGTGGGGCCACAATGGACAATCAAAGTTTTACATAGGGATATATAGGAAAAATCTTCAAAAATCTTCTTCTGAAGAACAGCAACGCTATGATTGGTCATATTTATATGGAAGCATCCTCAGGTGGTGTAGATTCAAGTTTGTTCAAATCATGATCCCCGGGGGTAGGGTGGGGCCACAATGGATGATCAAAGTTTAACATAGGTGTATATAGGAAAAATCTTCTCAAGAACAGCAAAGCTATGATTGGTCATATTTATATGGAAGCATCCTTAGGTGATGTGGGTTCAAGTTTGTTCAACTCATGACCCCGGGGGTAGGGTGGGGCCACAATGGAAGATTAAAGTTTTAATGAACATAGGAGTGTATAGGAAAAATCTTCAAAAATCTTCTCAAAAACAGCAAAGCTATGATTGGTAATATTTATATGTAAGCATCTGCAGGTGGTGTAGATTCAAGTTTGTTCAAATCATGACCCCCAGGGGTAGGGTGGGGCCACAATTGACGTTCAAAGTTTAAGTAGCAATATCTAGGAAAAATCTTTTTCTCAAGAACAGCAAAGCTATGATTGGTCATATTTAAATGGAAGCATCCTCAGGTGGTGTAGATTCAAGTTTGTTCAATCATGACCTCCAGGGGTAGGGTGGGGCCACAATGAAAGTTCAAACTTGTAGAGAAAAAAGTCACAGTTAGTCAAAAAAATCATGTAAGCATCCTTAGTTAGTGTAGATTTAATTTTGTTCAAATCATACCCCCCCCCCACTCCCTTTTAGGGGTAGGTTGGGACCACTTATGCATTTAAGCCTTTCAATACTAAACTGATTTTTCCTCTTTTCCTAGCCACAGTGCTCAGGTGAGCGATGTGGCCCCTGGGCCTCTTGTTGAATTTGTTATAACAAATTAAATTTGTTTAACAAATTTTAGAATTCGTTTAAACGAATTCAATTCGTTATAACAAATTTTTGAATTCGTTATAACGAATTCAAATTTGTTATAACATATTAAATTCGTTATAACGAATTCAAAGAAATTGTTATAACGAATTAAATTCGTTATAACAAATTCTACAATTCGTTATATTGAAATCGAAAATATTTTTTGATAGGTCCTAAATGGGCTTCCGTACTATTTCAATTTTGCAGAAAAAAATAAATAAAATCTTTGTAAGATTTCTTAAATTGTTTTTTACTATTTAGAAAATTGTTTGAACGATTAAGAAATTCGTTTGTACAATTAAGAAAATCGTTAGATCGATTTATAAATTCGTTTGTACGATTTTAAAAATTCGTTTGTACAATTTATAAAATCGTTTAAACGATTTAACAACTCGTTTGTACGATTTACAAATCGTGGATATTTGTTTGTACAATAGGCCTATAACAATTTATTGTACGATTTTTTAAAAAATCATTTGTATGATTTTTTAAAACTGTTTGTTCTTTGCCTCTTAAGTACATATAATGTTCTTGACTCATTCAATGGAAAGGGAAGCA